GCTTCTGGATAAATGTTAGTTATTATTCCACTTGGGTCCACTTGAGTAAGTGTGCAGTAAATATTTGTTAATGATAGAATTGAAGGCTATGGCCGAAGCAGTAAGCTGGAGACAAAGCCTGCAGTACATAGCAGGTGCCCAGGCCACCTGCTGCTTAGAGGACCATTTTGCACAATTCTGAAGGGCAGGGGCAGTGCCCGTTTCTGCCTTGCTTTCTCTGGCCAGGTGCCAGGCCCCACCTCTAAAGGAATGGGAAGAAATATCACCTCTCCAGTTGATGACTAATGGCCCGCCTTTGGTTTTACTGGCCTCTGATTTGGTGGGAAGACTTAAATATCCTTCCCCTTTTGGCTGGCCACTTTGGGGGGTCCTCTCCACCCTCTTGGAGAAATCTGCCTCCAGGCTTCTATCCGAGCCTGACTTTTCCCAGGCCTGAGCAGGAAGTCTCTCTGGGAGGCTGGTTTTCTACACTGGCTTAAGGTCTGGGAAGAAGTGGACCTCGGGCAAGCCATACTCCTCTCCAGACCTCAGCCTCTCCATCTGTACCTGGTCCTAGTCCAGGGGTCACGTTCCTCACTTGTGATGTGCCCTCCACTCCTGTGTGAGGGCACCCAAAGTAACACGTAAAAACACAGGAAGCCCAGTTAGATCTGAATTTCAGATAACAACACATTTTTTAATGTTATATGCATATAATATGAAATTTACAATATTAACCGTTGTTAAAGAAGCATGTGTCAGATATTTTTATTTATTGGTGTGTGCATTTATTATTATTTTTATTGTGGTAGAACATAAAATCTACCATCTCAACCATTTTCTTTTTCTTTATTTTTTAAAGGATTTTTTATTTTATTTTACAGATTTTATTTAGTTATTTTTAGAGAGGGAAGGGAGGGAGAAAGAGGGAAACATCAATGTGTGGTCGCATTGATGTTTCTCGAGCGCCCCCTACTGGAGACCTGACCTAGCCTGCAGCCCAGTCATATGCCATGACTGGGAATTGAACTGGCGACCCTCTGGTTCACAGGCTGGCACTCAATCCACTGATCCATACCAGCCAAGGATATCTTTTTTTTAAATGGCTGTATTAAATAATTTACATACCAAAAATTCACCTGTTTCAAGTGTACAATTGTGTATATTTACAGAGTTGTATGACCATCGATGCGATCTAATTTTAAAACATTTCCACCACCCCAAAAAGAAACCTCACACCCATTTGCAGTCATTTTGGAGTCCTACTTCCAGCCCAAGACAACCACCAATATACTTTCTGTCTTGAAAGATGTGCTTTTTGGAGACATGCCATCAAATGCCATGTGATGTTAGAATGGTACAACATGTGGTCTTTTCTTATTGACTTCTTTAATTTAGCCTAGTGCTTCTGAGGTTCATCCATGTCGCAGTGTGTATCAGTGCTTTATTTCCTTTTACTGCTGAGTGGGATCCATCATAAGGATATACCACATTTGATTTATTCATTCACTCACTGATGGACATTTGGGTTTTTTTCTCCTGTAGCTGTGAATAAGGCTGCTATGACTGTGAGTATAGAATTTTTTGTGTGGATGTTTATTTTTAACATTTTTCTTGGGTAGATACATAGGGCTGAAATTGCTGCATTAGATAATCGATTAAAAAACACCTTTATTATAAGGAAAATACATAGCAAAACATTACTGGAAGGTGGTGGGAGTGAAAGATATGGAAAAAACTCAGTCACCAAACGAGCTGCCCAAACAGAGATTTTTCTGCTGTGGAGAACAGTGATTTGACCCCTTCCTCACCTGCCTTTCTTTTGGTTTGTCCTGGTGGGCGGACATTACTTGTCTTTCTTGATTCAAAGAAACCTAGCAGGGCTGGGTCTAGGAAGCCCCATTTTTAAAGTGATTTTCTTCCTGGATGTTTCAAGATGTAAGACTTACGGAGAAGGGAAAGATGGGACAGCTGTTTGTTCCAACGTCATCCCCAGCCTCATCCATCAGTATTTATTGATGTCAAAGAGATGACCCCTATAGAATTGGGAAAATTTAGGCAGCAGTATGATGAGCAATGAAGCTGTGTTGATGAGGAAGTGAGCTACATCATACTCAGGGTGGAAGCTGGCCAGGAAGTAAAGTACAACAGGAAAGACACTGAGGAATTTGTGGGCAGAGGTAAACTGGAGACAGTAGTCCATCTGTTCCCAATGTGTCAATAGCTAAGAGCCTGTCCTTGATCAAGGGTCTCAAAGGGTGTCCCTTTCATAGTATGTGGGCAGACATACATAGCCTGCCAGCTACAGAAGCCTATCAGGCCTAGGGTGGATAGGCTTGCTTCTACGCATAAGGATGTTTCTTGAGACTAAAGTTAATTTCTTTGTACCCTGTAATCACATCCCTCCAATGTTGTCCCAAGAAGTTAAATTAAAACCTAATAGCCCTGGCTGGTGTAGCTCAGTGGATTGAGGGAGGGCTGTGAACCAAAGGGTCGCTAGTTCGATTCCCAGTTAGGGCACATGCCTGGGTTGTGGGCCAGGTCCCCAGTGGGGGCCACGTGAGAGGCAACCACACATTGATGTTTCTCTTTCTCTTTCTCCCTCCCTTCCCCTCTCTCTAAAAATAAATAAATAAATAAATAAATCTAAAAAATAAAAATAAAATAAAATAAAACCTAAATTTCTCACTAACGGTTACAAGGCACTATGATGGGTCCTCAGTGGATCCCTCCAGCCTTATCTTCTTCTCCCCTCATTTACTCCTTCATCCCAAACTCAGATGTTTGCAATAGCCTGCACTTACCTCACTACATGGCCCAATTTCTACTTATCTTTCATGTCTTTGGTTAAACCACCTCCTCCAGAAAGTCCTCCTGGTTCCTAGGATAGATGAAATCTTTCCCAGTACTCAGCTTTAAAAAACAAAAACAAAAACACTCTGGTTCTTTTGCTCTGGGTTCCTCCCAGCAGGTGAAAAGGGAAAGATTCTGAGATGCCCTAAGTTAAATTACAGCAGGCCGGAGGATGGAAGGAGGAGACAAACAGGAGTGGTTCAGAGAACAACTGCAGTGCAAAACAAACTAAAAACTACTTGCACTCCTTAATGTATGTTGGAATTATTAAATTAACATTCAGACAACCCTGTTTTCCACATGTGACATAATAAAGCCACCCTGGCTGGCGTGGCTCAGTGGATTGAATGTTGGCCTATAAACCAAAAGGTCACCAGTTTGATTCCAGGCCAGGGCACATGGCCAGGGTTTTGGGCAGGGTCCCGGTTGGGGGTGTGGAAGAGGCAACCAATCAATATTTCTCTCTGGAGCTGATGTTTCTCTCCCTCTCTCCCTCCCTTCTTCTCTCTCTAAAAATAAATTTAAAAATTTTAATTAACATCCAGGCAGATAGTTCCCAGATTATCTATTGTAAAAAGAGAATAGTCAGGTGCCCTAGAATACCAGGAACGCCTGCTTCTTATTTACACACGAGCCATAAGGACTCCGCTCTGCTGCATCTACCCCAGAACTTGACCCCAGCCCTGACTTCACTTTCTCCACCCCTTTGCCTATAGCTAATGTAAATTCTTTCAGATTGCTTGTATCTTTATTCCCCTCCCCATTACTCGATATATAAAAACACTTGCAAACTCCAAGATGGATGATCCTGTTGTTTTTCCTATCTAGCTATTTTGTTGGTAGTTTAGATTCCATACCCCAAGATCGCTGTCTTCTTCTTTTTCTTCTAATTAAAAAAATTGATGAGAGAAATATCGATTAATTTATTGTTCCAATTATTTATGCATTCATTGGTTGATTCTTGTATCTGCCCTGATTGGAGATGGAAGCCACAACCTTGGGATATCTGGACAATGCTCTAACTAACTGATCAAGCCTACCAGGGCTAATTCTTCTTCTAATTCTTCGTCTTCCCCTCCCCCTCCCCTCCGCCTCCTCTTCTTCTAATTTCTTTAAATGACCTAATAAACCCTTTCTTTAAAAAAAAACTTTCAGACATGGAAGTTAAAATTTTTTAACACAGGAGTCTTAATACATTCAGTTCTTGGAGAGCAGGCTAACGGTATCTACCGCTTCTAGTATTTCCTAATGCCAGGCAGTTTCCAGCGCCTTAGGCGTTTGGTCACTTAGCGTGCCCCTATAAAGATCAGTCAACGAGTCCCATTTTACAGGTGGGGAGACTAAGGCACAGGGCCATTAAGTAACTTGACTACGCAGTTCTGAGAGCACTTTTCTTCAATGAATTAATATTTATATACGGTATATTGTGGTTCTAGCACATAATGCTCAACAAACTTTTCCTAAGGGTTCTGAGCATTTTATGGCTGTTTAAGAACTCCCCCATGTCCCGCCCCTTTCCTGAGCCCCGCCCCCTGGGGGTTACGCCATGACACCTCCCTATTTTGCGTTAACCTCGTCTCTAACAATATCCAATGGAGGACATATATTTAAGCCACGCCTCCTGTGGTAGCCAATGGCCGCTCCCTACCTCGAGGCATTTCTTTTGGTACCCAATGGCCTGCAGCTCTGTTTTAAGCCCCGCCCCTGGGAGCTTGAGGCTATCAAATGACCCGCCGCCTACATTGATTGGGTGTTCTTTACTACGGTATCCAATGGCCTGCCTCCTCCATAAAATCCCTCTCCCTGTGGCGGTCTAATAGCCCGCCCTTTCATCCTAGGCTCCGGGCAGAAGGAGGCCGGCCGCTCTCCTCTTAGCTCCCAGAAGACCTCTGTTTCCCTCCTTCCCCCTTTCCCCTTTCACCTTCCATAACCTCCTCCCCCTTCAATTAGGCCTCTGGGTTACGCCCCTGGGCCCTACCCGTTATCCAATCCCGTTAACGTGTTCTCCAACCTCTCTTTTCATTGGTCCCCGCGCTCCTCTATCCCCGCACGTGGTTCTGAGCGACCGCGTCCCCCGCCGGTGATGGCAGGAAGGTGGGACATCCGGCGGCGGCGCGCTGCCCAATAAGCACGCGCCGGGCCGCTGCCCTAGCGGCCGTCTCCGCCCCCTTCGTTCCCTGCTCCCGCCCCCGGCTTCGCCTCCCGCTGCTGCCGCCGCTGCCGCTGCTGCAGCCACTTCCCGCGGTCTGGGCTTCCCGCCGCCAGCATGCCGCACGCCTTCAAGCCTGGGGACTTGGTGTTTGCCAAGATGAAGGGCTACCCGCACTGGCCGGCCCGGGTGAGGCCGGGCGGGAGATGTGCCAGGCGGAGGGTGGGGGTGGGGTGGGGCAGTAGAGGACCCAGGCCTGAGGGGACCTGCGCGCCAGGGGTCTGCAGGGCCCCATGGTCTGAGGGACCCGCGTTCCTGGAGGTTTGGGGGTCCCGGGCCTAAAGTACCCGCACGCCGGGTATCTGGGAGTTTCGGGCCTTAGGGATCTGGGGAACCTCGGGCTTGGGATACTCGGGTCTGAGGCACCCTGGGCCTGAAGTAACCGCGCGCCGGTGGGCTGGGGGGTCGCCGGGAGTGAGGAGCCCTCGTGCAAGGTGCCTGGGGGTCCCAGGTCTGAGGGACTGGCACTCCGAGGTATTGGGGGCCACCACGACCCTGGGGAGCCCTGGCCTGAAGAACGCCCCCCCCGGCGACCTGCATTCCGGAGGTCCCAGAGTCGAGGGACGCGGGGTTTGAGGGATCTAGGGCCTAAGTGGCATGGTTCAACTTCGGAGGAGGGTAGCTGAGAGACTTGGTATTTGAGGAGAGGGGACAAATTGATGGGAAGCATAGTCCCAAACTGAAGGCCTCATTGGCGAAACCATAAGAAACCAAGTTCTGAGGGGCTGGGGCCCTGGGACCATGTGTGAGCGAGGCTAGGGAAGAAGGATGCAGCAAAGGAGAAAGGTTGAGGGTCAAGGGTGAGGGAGGCCAAGGCTGGAAATGGGGCTAGGATTCTGTTAATAAGGTTAATGGAGCTGAAAGGACTTGATCTGATCATGCTGTTGGGCATCCAAGATCAGAAGTTGAAATAAGGTGTTTGTGGGTTCCCCCTGGAGCCTGATGGAGGAGGCTGGTTGGGGCGTGGAGTGGAGGGAGGGCATGGGGTGTAGGGAGGGCTTGGGGTGGGATAGTCCTCTCAGATGCACGAATCAGAGACTAGCCCCTTGCAAAGGGGAATCAAGCCCAAAAGAGAGCATATGAGGGAAGGGGGCTGGGCCGATGGGACTTTGGGGATCCCCTTTGGAGGAGGCTATGATCCAAAGGACCCAAATGGTCCGAGGGTGCCATCCAGGTCTGAAGGGTAGTCCTGAGCCTAGGGTCCCTTATCAGATCTGCAGGATGGAGTTCCTGGTCCTGTCCAGGGCTGGGCAGTGTGGAGGAGGGACTTGGAGGTTATTGTCAAACCAAGGTCTTAAGGCTCGAGTTGCCCCAGGGCTGAGATTGGTAGGACTGAAGGAATTTGGGAGGTAGAGGTGCAAGGCTCAAGCAGAAGCAGGAGACAGTGGAAGGACAAGGCTGAAGGTTTGACTCGAATAGGAGTGCAGGAGTTGCTGGACCAGTCCTGTGGAATGGCTGGAGGTTTCAGCCTGGATGCTCCCTACCTCTGGGTGAAAGTAAACAGAAGGTCACCTGTCAGAGCTGGGGGTTTGAGTGCAGGGAGGCCTCCATAGGATGTCAGGAGAGCCTCAGGGCCCAGAGAGCAGTCTGGAGCTGGTGCTGCTGCTAGGATATTTGGGCCTCAGGCTCAGAGGTGAGTCCTGAGAGCAGAAGATGGCCTGGAAGGCATGCTGGGCTGGGCCGTGGGCTGATGGCATTTGGGATGCTTCTGTATGGTAGTGGGATGCTTGGGATGGATGCCTGAGACCCACAGCCCAGGCCCAAGAATTTGAAAAGTAGCCTCTGAAAGCAAGGAAGGAGAAAACATAAACTGAGGAAGGAAGCTGGGTGAGGGGAGCAGGGAAGATTCTGCAGTCCCCAGGTGTTGAAGAGGATGGTAAGGAATTAATGGGGCTGGAGAACCTGTTTTAATCTCATTTGCTCACGCTTATTTTCTTGGGCAACACCAGAGCAATGAAACTTTGTGGGCACTTCCCTTTCCAGTGAACCGGCTTCTCCCTCTCTTCCAACCCCTTTCCAGCCAGCTCTCTTAAGCCCTGAACATTTCCAGGCACCTGATTGGAAGTAAAGGGGCTGCTAACCTCCTGTGGGGAGGTGACTGACAGCTGCTGGAGCCCATGGGTCTGTAGGGAGAGGGTGGGACTTCCTGGATGCTCAGGGCCTGTCTCCTGCAGCCCACCCCCCACCTTCTGCATCCTTGGAGCTGCCAGCTGCAGCCTCTGGGAGACTAACCACCCCACTACCGATCCCCTCTTTGAGGGAGGGGGTCCCATGGGAGGGTACTGGTAGTTCATAGAAGCTGAGCTTGGCCCCACCCCCTGGCTGCTCAGAGGACTATTTTCGGTTTTGCTCAGGTGAAGAACCTACCTTTGGGGCAAAGAGAGCACCCTGTGTGGGGGGGAAGGGACAGATAGACAGTGGGGGATGGGGATATACAGAAGAATGCAGATGCCTAACTGGAAGGTGATGCATCTTCCTGGGTTGAAGGCTTCCCTTCTGGCATGCTTCCCCCCAAGCAACTTGTCTGATTTCTGAGTGATTTTCTGGGTTAGTGGGTGAAGCTGCCCTGCCCCTCAGCCATCCCCTTACCGTCCTTTCACTGCAGATTGATGACATCGCTGATGGTGCCGTGAAACCCCCACCTAACAAGTATCCCATCTTCTTCTTTGGTACACACGAAACGTAAGTGTCCCTCGCTGGACTTGGTCTTTCCCACCTGGTGTCTGCTTGTGTGCCCTGGCTCACCTGGGACTGGTGTGATTTCTCTCTTCAGAGCCTTCCTGGGACCCAAGGACCTATTTCCCTACGACAAGTGGAAAGAGAAGTACGGGAAACCCAACAAGAGGAAAGGCTTCAATGAGGGACTGTGGGAGATCCAGAACAATCCCCACGCCAGCTATAGCGCTCCTCTGGTGAGTACCTGGGGGTGGGGGACAGCTGGCATGGGGTCCGCAGAGCCAGGTCAGGGGGTGCTCATATGCACTGGGAGCTAGAAGTAGCCTTAGCTCGTCTCATAGAGAAAGAAGAGGTCTCTTGGATAGGGCTCTTTGTCCTTGGTACCACTGACTACCCGGGCTGGATCATTTTGTGGGGGCCCATTCTGGGCACTGTGGGGTGTTGAGCAGCATTCCTGGCCCCCACCCACTTGATGCCAGGAGCACCCTCTCTACCCCAGTTGTGACAACCAAGCATGATCTCAGACATTGCCTACCAGCGTCCCTTGGGCAGAGTGAAGGGGGTCCCCTGGTGAGACCTCATGCTCTGGGATTACCGTGAATGTATACCAGTGTTGGAACTCTTATAAAACCTTTTGTTTTCTAAGGAAAATGCGTTCTCTTTTAATAACAACTCCCACTCTGCCATTATGGTCAGATTTTAGACTCAAAAAGGTAGCAGTTAGTGAATAGATGTGAGAGTTCTTGCTCAGGTGGGAAAAAAAAATGCCAAGAATCAGAGGTGATGTCTTAGAGGTGAATCGGAATCTAGAAACATTCAGGGAAAGGAAGGGATCTAGCAAAGTTGATGGTAAGGCCATAAAAAGTTGTGGAAGGCCACAAAAGGATGGCAGAGTGCCCGCTCTGGGTGTTTTGGGGTAAGAAGCAGATGAGGGGAGGCTGGGCCGGGATTCTCCACTCTGCTGTTAGCCACTGCTTTGGGGGTTTCTGTGGGTGGTGCGAGGAGGGGTGAGCACAAGGTCGGCTGGAACAAACTGACCACGGGGGCCAGAGCTTGGCTGGTAGGGAGGAAAAGCACTTGCAGCAGGGTCTGTGGGAGGCAGGCAGGAGTTGGAGAGCATCTGGTTTGTGTGAGCGGAGGTTGGAGTGGTTCTGTGGTGCCTGGTCCAACTTGAGAACTTTGGGCCTTGAGATGGTCTGAGTGCGCCTCTCCTTTGGCTCAGTCCACCCACTAACCCTGAGACACTCCTGTGTTGACACCTGCACACAGCTAGGAACCTGGAATTCATGATGACTCACACATTTCTCACCTCCCAGGAGCTCCCAGCCTAAAATTTGGTGTTCATTCAACAGATGGACCAGGCTTACATTTAGTGCATGTTGGGAGGCATTTGACTTTCACCTACCATGATGGGTCTGTGAGACAGATCCCCCTGCTCTGATGCCCATCTTTTCTTGTGCTTTGCATCTCCCCAGCTCGGGTAAATGGATCCGAAGGCCTTTAAGGTCGTAGAGTTTCATGAGATCTTTTTCTGGCCCCACCTCTAGTTCTGTTTGGTTATGTCCTAAGCTTATTGCCTCCTGGTGAATCATCAGACCATTTAATATTTATTGCACACTCACAGCTTGTGAAGTACTGTGTAGATGCCTGCCCTCGAGGAAACAAAACTGAAAAATGATGTGACTGGCAGTGAACCAGCCCCATAAAGGCTCCCCAAGTTGAGAAGTAGCTCTGAGTGTGAGAGCTTATCACTGCTCTTTGGTTCTCTAATGAGTCTGTGCCCACAGATGGAACATTGGTTTGCAATGCAGATCCCTGCCTCCTCTCTACCCCAGAGGTTTAGATGTAGCAGTTTAGGGATGAGGCCTGGGGACCTTGGTGTTATTCTTCCCATGCATCATCTGAGATGCTTCTGATGGAGCCAGTCCACGGGCAGGCTTTTAGTTTCAGAATCATTGCTTTATGGGCACTTGAGCAGTCTCTCTCTTTTTATTCTCTGTTTGCTGTCTGTCTGTCTGTCTTCTTTCTTTAAGGTCCTATTTACTTATAAAGAGAAGGGAAGGGAGAGAGGAAGAGAGGGAGAGAAACATCAGTGTGAGAGTGAAACACTGATTGGTTGTCTTGCATATGCCCCACCTTGGGACGGCGCCTGCAACCCGGGCAGGTACCCTGACTAGGAATCGAACCAGCGACCTTTTGCTTTGTGGGGGTGACACCCAACCCACTGAGCCATACTGGTCAGGGCTGTAGTTTATTTTTACATTTGGAGTGGCAGTGAAGACTCCTGGTACCCAATTACAAAAGGGACGTGCAGTGAAAAGTCAGTTCTGCCTCCTGTTTCCGTCAGGAGCGGCCCAATCAGGCACTCTGTTTCCGTCTCCGCTCAGGACAGCTACAGCGAGCAGTTCCTTCCACACCCTGCCAAGACCCTCTATTCCTAGAAGACCCTACATGGCTTTCTTTTTTTAAAGCATATAATTCTCTGATTTGCTTTATTTCCCCCATAATAATAAATCTTGACCACTGGTCCATGGCAACATGCAGAGAACAGCCTCATTCTTTTGCCAGCCTCACCCTGTCTGGTGCCCCTGCCAGGGGTGAATGGCAAGGGCTGCTCCGCAGCCCTTGCCAGACAGGACGTGGAAAATGGCATCTTGGTATGGCTGCAGGTTCATTCATTGGACCTGTCCAATGGATTCACACAGTGATCCTGAGAGTGGGGGGGCCAGTGTCATCTTTTCCTTTTTACAGACGAGCAAACTGAGGCCCAGAGAATTCTTGTGATTGCCCAGAGTGACCCAGTTGGAATCTGAGACTTTTTTAGACCCAGACCAACATTTGGGCTGGATAATTCTTTGGGGCTGTCCTGGGCACCATGGGTGTTGAGCAGCATCTCTGGCCTCCATGCACTCAGTGCCAGGAGCACCTACCTCATCATGACAACCAGAGTGTCTCTCAATACTGCCAAGTGCCCCGTGGGAGACAAAATCACCCTGGGTGGAACCCATTGACCTACAGGGTCTGGCACAAATAATGCCCCCATCTTTTATTACAGAATCGTAAGCATGTAATTCTGTAACATAACAATGCACACACGCACACCATATGACATTTTAGGTAAAATATTTAAATAAAAACTATAAATTATTACACCCATGTTATTACCCTACTAACCACACTCAAGCAGGCATTACTTCTGCCGGACCCTATAGCCGGATCCCAGTTAATACATCCTGGTCACTGATAGAGGAAGAGGTACGGGGACCTTTTCAAGGTTCTCAAGTTGATTAGAGCAGAACTGGGACTAAATCCTAGGCCTCCTGCCTCCCAGGCTGAAATTGGTTTTCCTCCGGCTGATATAGCCATGGTGGGGCCCTGAGGCAGAAAGAGGTTGCAGAGAACCTCTGCATGGAATGGTCCAGGGTCAGGAGCCACACTGTGTGGGGGCCTGCACCTGGGTGCAAATGAACAAGTGCACGTCAGGTATCTAGCGCAGCCACATAGTAAGTGCAGGATGGTAGTTGGGAATGAGGGGGCCAGGCTGGATTTGATCTGCCCTTTGCATCTCATTCACCTCCAGATCCCTTAGGATAGTGAGAGAAATGAGTGCTCATCTCACTCAGCCACTGGGTGTTGGGGTGCCCTCCATACTTTTCCACGTGACCCAGGGTTCCCAAAGCCTCTGTTGGCAGGTGCTTACATCCCATGGGCCGACCCAGATCAGAGTTTCTGGCTTTAGCCACAAGCAAAGCGTAGGGCAAGTCACTTGCCTTCCCAGAGACTCGGTTTCCCCAGTTGTGGACCATGCCCATTCATCTCAATTGCCTGACGGCCATGAAGGCACAGACCGGATCACAGTTGGTCAAGAGCTCGGCAGCAGTGAGGAGGGATTTAGTGAGCACTAGCTTTGTGCGGGGCCCAGGCTTGTGGCTAAGGTGGACCTGCCTTGCTTCCTGGCTTTGTTACTTGCTTGCATGATCTTGTCACACTGCCTGTTTTCTCATCTGCAAAAAGAGGATAATAGCTCCCACGAGTTAGAGAGAGAGATAATGAGCTCAGTGTCTGGTGGTTCGCACTTAACTAACACTTGCAAAGAGACCTTTGGACCACCACTTATTCTCTAAGTGACAAATGGGATAGCATTCCCTTTTCTATATTCACCAGTGGCGCTCCTCAGTCCTGGAGCAGAGGTGTGGTAGAAACCCATCATAAAGTTCTTCTGGCGTTTTAGGTTTGGGCCTTGCCCTACTTAGTGCTGCACTTTTTAACCTTGTCAAACAGTACACAGGGCCCTGCTGCCCTGCCCGAGGCCCTGGGTTATGATGTTCAAGGCAGACGGTTCGGTGCTGAGCGGCCAAGTCCTGCCAATTCCTGATTCTCATTTTTCTTGCCTATGAATTAGGGATTGTGGTGAAGGCTGGGGAGGGCTCAGGACTTTGATTTCTCCGTGGGGGAAGAAGGGTCTTTACACACGAGTGAGCGCGGAGTGGGGAGCAATGACAGGCTGGGTTCCCTCTGCCCCACCCCGCCCCTCCTCCGGCAGGGCCGTCCCTGGCCCAGCTCTGGCATCCACACTCCTGCGGTCACAGTTTCATTCTCTTCTATGAGTTTCCATTGTGATGTGTTGCCGAGACCTGGCCTCTCCCTCTGTCTGTCTGTTCGTGACCCTCCTCCTGGCCACCCAGCCACACCTCCATCTCCTTGCTCCTCACTCGAGTCTCCCTGGGTGCGTCCTGTCTGTGTGGCCCCGGAGACTCCTCTCCCACCCTCAGGCCCTTCTGGCTTCCTTGATTTTCGCTCGGCCAGAGTGCATGCTGTGCTCCAGTCCATTGAACCCCGGCTGTCATCACGCCCAGCGAAGGTGGCTTTTTGGGGTAATGCTTATTTTTTTAATTGGTGTGAAGTTTACGTAACATGAAATTCATAATTTTAAAGCATATACTACCTTTGGCTATTACTAACTACATTCGCTGTTGTTCAGCCACCACTACTGACTGATTTCAGAATGTTCCCATCTCCCTCTTCATCGGCAGTCACCCTCAGTTCTCTCCTCCCCCAAACCTTAGGAACTGTTGGCCCAGGCCGGGTGGCTTAGGTGGTTAGACTATTGTCCCAATATGCCAGAGTTGTGGGTTTGATCCCTGATCAGGGCACATAAAGAATCAACCAATGAGGGCATAAATAAGTGGAACAGCAAATTGATGTCTCTATGTGTCTCTCTCTCAGGAAAAAAAAAAAAACACCCCTAGGAACTACTAACCCACTTTCTGTTTCGATGAGTTTGCGCAGTCTGGGCATTTCACGTGAATGGAATCATGTGTTTGGTCCTGTGTCCGGCTGCTCGCTGAACGGGTTCTCAGTTGCCGCCCACGTTGGTTAGTGTGTGTCAGATCGTTCCTTTGTGTGGCCAAGTGGTGCTCCACTCCATAGCCACCCCGCGTTTACTTACATCCATCAGTAGATAGACATTGGGGTTGTTTCTAGAGAATGTGGCTTTTAAGAATCTCACTGTCTTTCTTTAAAAAAAAATCACTTATTTAGAAAAGACATACATATCATGAAATAACCTGCTCCGATTTTTACACTTGGATTTGGCTGGGTTAACCCCTCGTGTGTGTTGTTGTGCATTTACTTGTCTGTTTCCCCCTTAGACTGTGAGCTCCCCAAGGGCAGGGACCCTGTCTTACTCATCTCTAGCCCCAGCACCTGACACAGGGCTGGGCACACAGTAGGTATTCTGTGACATGCATTGGATGAGTGATTGGTGGTTGAATACGGCTGGAGCCCATCCATTTTCCTCCCACAAACATAAAACATCCCAAAGGAGTTCAAAAGGACCCGAGAAAGCCCTGTAGCCCAACTGTCACTGTGCCCTCTGCCCGATCTCCCTGAGCCTTGCTAACTCCTGCACGATTTGGCCCCCGCCTCTCCACTGCCATTTGCTTCTCCTTCGCTATGCACCGCCCTCCCCCCAGCCTGTCCGGGTTCCTTAGGGAACCTTCATTTATGCTGATCCTGTCTTCCCAAACGTGTCTGGACCCTGTCCTTCTTCATGCTTAGGACAACCCCTCAGCTCAAATGTCACATCTTCTGAGGGCCCCCTTCCTAATGTAAAATACTCCCACCACTGGGCACCCACCTCGCTTCACTTCCCTCCTGCCCATGGGCCAGTATTTTCCTTGCTGCCCATCACCACTGTATGACATTGGTTTGTTAAGTGGCTACAGTCGTTTCTCCCACTAGACTGTAAGCTCCCTGGGGGTAGGGACCATGCCCTGTTGGTATCTCACTACCTACTTAGCACTCACTACCTACTTAGCACAGTGCCTGGCACCCAGCACCTGCTCCTCGAAGTGACTGGGTTTAAACGAGCCTGGCATGTGTTTGCTATCTTTGTGGCTGTCACTGCCTGAGCAGGGATTTTGGGTAAAACAGAAATAATAGTGGCTTGAAGTTCAAGCCCAGAGGGCCTGTTCTGGGTTGGGTTGGCTTCCTTCTCCTTATTATGAAAATAATAATAATAACAATAACAATAATAATAATAATAATGAAGCCTTGGTGGACCTCTTGTGCCAGTCTGGGTACTGTCCTAAGTACGTCATGTACCACTGGTGTCTCATCCTCGTCATAGCCCTCTGAGGCCAAAACAGTGGCATCTTCATTGCTTGATGTAGAAACTGAGGCACAGAGAGGCTTAAGTCACTTGCCCAGGGTTTGACCTTGAATCCCACAGTACTTGAATCCTACTTTTGTCCATCTGAACCTCCTGCCTCAGTTCCCCCACTGGGAAAGTGAGGAGGCCCTGGCATTTGAGTCGCTGCCACTAGTGGGTGCTGCACTCTGAGTTCCTGTCCTGGTTGGGAGATCCACTGGAACCCGGGGGTGACTCACTGTCTCTGCCCCCCAACCCCTTAGCCGGTGAGCTCCTCCGACAGTGAGGCCCCTGAAGCTGACCCGGCGGGAAGGAGTGAGGACGACGAGGAAAGGGGGGTCATGGCTGTCACAGCTGTGACTTCGGCAGCCACCAGCGACAGGATGGAGAGTGACTCGGACTCGGACAAGAGCAGTGACACCAGTAGCCTGAAGCGAAAGGCATCAGCTTTGAAGGTAGGGGGTGGGGCAGGTGCACTTGCCCGTGGGATCCGGTGGCCTAGCAGCTCCCTTCCTGCCCCCACTCTGGGGCTGTACCCCTCGGCCTGCCCACCCGCCCTCTCTTTCTGTTCTTTTTTTTTTTTCCCACATGCATTAAAAAACAATTGAGATACCATTCACATACCATGAAATCCACCCTCTCAAAGTATACAGTTCAGTGGTTTTTAGTACATTCACAGGGTTGTGCAGCCATCACCATGTCTAATTCCAGAACATTCCATCTTCCCAAAAAGAAACCCTGTCCCTATTAGCAGTCACTCCTCATCTCCCACTCCCAGCCCCCGGCACCCACGAATCTACTTCCTGTTTCTCTGGACTTGTTTGTTGTGGGCATTTCACATGAATGTACTCACACACTCTGGCCTTTTGTGTCTGGCTTCTCTCACTGAGCAGCATGGGTTCAAGGTCCATCCACGCTGTAGCCTCCCTTTTTTTTCACAGTTGAAGAATATTCTTTTCTAAGGACAACATTTTGTCTATTCATTCATCTGTTGGTGGCTATCTGGGTTTCTTCTACCTTTTGGCCATTGTGAGTAACACTGCTGTGAACAGCCAGCCGTGTGCAAGCTTTTATGTGGACGTGTGTTTTCATTTCTTTTGGATATATTCTTTTTCCTGCCTTTTTTTTTTCCTCTTCTGCCTTTTGACTACTTCTAAATATTTGGGGGGTGCAGAATGAAAGGACCAGCACCTCTAGCAAACTCTTGATAGACTAAGGCATTCTTTTCATTATTAAAAATAACATTTATTTCTGGTTCCAGTGGCAACAATAAGCTCTGCTCATTGTATGTAAGCTGTCAAGATGCTGGTAAAAAAGACCCATTGTCTCTGAGGGTTTTCTGCAGCAAGGGCCGGGAGCACTCCTAGGTGTCTTCTCTGGGACGTGCGTGTCTCGCCTGGTGTATGGGTGTGTGTAAAGTGTAGAATTGGCCATCTGTACATACAGTGTGTGTCTTGCCTATTTTTCTCCACCTAATACGAACATTTCCTTGTCATTGAATATTATTTTAAGAAGCAGGTATCAGCGGTTGAGAAGTAGTCTATGGCATGGATGAATTCTAACGAATATATTAAGACTTTTGGGCATTTAGTCCCCCCCTCCAACTTTTTATGATTTGTATTTGGTATTGTTTTTTAAAAGTCTCCATAATTTCTGTTGTTAGAGAAGTTAAAACATAAGTATGTCAATACCCATCCTATATCCCCCTTAGAGAGAGATCACTATTTATAGGTCAGTGTATGTTCAGATTTTTTTTTTTTTGCTAACTTTTCATTAAACAATATAAGTTAATTATTATTACACCTTTTAACAACACTGGGGAAGAATTTAAAAGACCATTCGCTCTTAACCCCACTGCACTTAGCACAGCCTGGATGCTCCATTCCCAAATCCGAGGGATGCTGTGGTCTTCGTATTCATCCTTCTTAATGGCCCCGTGGGCGACTTCCTTTTGTTAGGGTTCAGCACCCGCCGGCAGCCACCAGTGCTTCTGGAGTGAGGACTCGCCCAGGGCCCTGGTAGGAGCGGAGCTGAGCTGGGTCCTCCAACTTGGCGCTGCCTGCGAGCCACCCCGTCTCCTCTCCAAGCCTTTGAGAGTGCCGCACTGCTGTCCACCTGCGCGCTTTGCACTGGCCGTTTCCTCAACCCAGGAAATGGCCCCCCTCGTGTTTTCCATGCCCTGAGCCTGCAGGTTTCTCAGTGCTCCCTCCGACCCCCCTTAAAGGCACGCCCCGTCACTGCACCGCAGCGTCCTCTTCTGTTTTCACAGGACTCGCTCTTCTCTCGCGTCGTTAATTAACGTTTCTGTTTGTTTCTCCTGATGAGATGAGTTGCAGGAGAGCTGAGGCCTCTTGTTGGGGTGTCACCAAGGACACGATTTGCTCGGGTCATCATGAGAAAGTATCTCAGCCTGGGGGGCTTAAATAACAGTTATTTTTGTATAATTCTGAAGGCCAGACTCCAAGATTGAGGTGCCAGCAGGGCTGGTTCCTGCTGAGGCTTTGCTCCCTGCCTTGTAGACGGCCGTCTCCTCCCTGTGCGCTCATATCCTCTCCCCCCTGCGTCCACTCTCTTCCTGTGAGGACACCAGTCTTACTGGACTAGGGCCCATTGTAATGACCTCTTTAAAGACCCCCATCTGCAGATACAGTCACATCCTGAGGTTCCAGAGGTTAGGCTTTCACATTTCAGTTTTAGGGGGACACAGTTCAGCCTGGCTTTGGACGGGGCATGGAGCAGGGACATGCTTAGGAAGCAATTTGTAAAGTAGGAACGAGTCTTATTTGTAACATAGTAGAGGCAAAAGCACTTGGTAAGTTAACAGCTGCCCGAGGAGGAAGACTGGTTGTCACTGGACAAGGATCTTCCCCCACCCCAAGATTTTATTTATTTACTATATTTTTAGATAGAGGGGAAGGGAGGTAGAAAGAGAGGTAGAGAAATATTGATATGCGAGAGATTTTTTGCCTCTTGCACAACCCCCAATGGGGGACCTGGCCTGCAACTCAGGCATGTCCCCTGGCTGGGAATTGAACCAGCGACCTCTTAGTTGTCAGGCTGGGCCTCAGTTTACTGAGCCACACCAGCCAGGGCGTATTTCTGAAGCTCAGTTCTCTATGCTTCCTTGCTTTTTCCTTCATGAGGACTCTTGAGTTGGCTTCTTTGGGAGGGCATCAGTCATGGACCCCCGAAACAAGTCAGATATGTATGTATGTATGTATGTATTGTATACCCACACACATATATAGCTTTTGAAAAATTTTTTTAAATTTTATTTTAATCATTGTTCAGATATAATTTTCTCCCTTTTACTCCCAGTCCAGCCCCCCCTCCCAACCCTCCCCACTTCCCTCCCATTAGCTTTTGAAATTTTTATTGCGGTGAGATTTATATAACAAAATGAAGCATTCAAGTGTATAGCTCAGTGGTTTAAAATATTTTCACGTTGTGTGACCACCACCACCATCCGCCTCCAGAACTTTCTCACCTTCCCACCTTCCCACCTTCCCACCTTCCCAGACTGAAACTCTGTGCACATTATATGCTGGCTCCCAGCCTTAGGCACCTGCCATCTACTTCCTGTCTCTATGGATCTGACTCCTCTAGGGACCTCTAATAAGAGGAAGCCTACAGTATTTGACCTTTTGAGACTGGTTGATTTCATTTAGCACAATGTCCTCAAGGGTTAAGCTCCCCGGTTTTTTTTGCCAGATTCACAAAGGGCCCCCACTGCCCTCGCAAAGGCTCTAGGGCCTCAGCTCTTCGCTGGGCCGTGGGGGTCAAGTGGGAGATGGCTCTGCTGCGCGCACGTTCTTTCCTGGGTACTGATCTGTTTGGGCTGCTCCCTCTTCAGATGTCAGTGTCAAAACGAGCCCGGAAGGCCTCCAGCGACCTGGATCAGGCCAGCGTGTCCCCATCTGAGGAGGAGAACTCTGAGAGCTCATCTGAGTCAGAGAAGACCAGTGACCAGGTGAGCAAGCGGATGGCTCCCCAGGTGCACAGGGGAGTGATGCACAGGAGGGAGCTGAGCAGAGCAGTGGCCAGCCTGTGGGGCTTGTTCAGCTCCCTTCTCTCCGCCCAGGACTTCACCCCTGAGAAGAAAGCTGTGGTCCGGGTGCCACGGCGGGGCCCCCTGGCAGGACGAAAGAAAAAGGTAGAGGTGTTTTGTTTTGTTTTTTACCCCATACCCACCTGGGAGAAACACTTAGAGCTTCTTTCCAAGGTTACCAGCCACTGTCCACAATTACAGTCTGGTTCTTTTTGGAGGAGGATAGGACATAGGCCACAAGGAGACCCCAGCTATCTCCGACTTTGGCCTCTCGTTTCACTGGTGTCCTCAGCCCATAGTTCCCGAGTACCGTGTGTGCAGAGCACTTCCTGATGAGGGATGACCTGGCTGCCACCACTACTGACCAGAGTCTCCAGGCCGGTGTAGAAAGTGGGGTTCTGGGGTGCTGGCATCAGATGGCAGTGAAGCAGCTTTAGGTTCTCCGTGAATGGGGTATGGGCAGGGAGAGGAAGACAGAAATCTGAGTGTTGTGTGTGTGTGTGTATGTGCTGTGTGTGCTTGTGCATGTATGAGCATGTGCATGCTTGCATCAGTGTACGTGTATGGTGTGTGCACGTGTATATGTGTGTTGTCTGGCATGTATAAGAATGATGTAAGAGTTGTGTCCAAATGTGTGTTGTGTGTGATGCACATGTGTGATGCAAATGTGTGTGCTGAGGGCCCAGCAGAGTTCAAGGGCAGAGATGGTATAAGAGGGCATCTCATCTGGTTGGGCCTCCAGGCATGATTTTGTGGTATTTGAAAGGTCTTGCCCCTGGGAAAAACAACTGTGTATCTCATTTGACCCCTGCACTTCACCCAGGAGCAAGGAGGCCTAGGTGGATCACGCATGGTAACTCAGGCGAAGGGTCAGGCAGCTGCAGGCACATCCAGGGCTCCCTGTGATTCCAGGCCTAAATGAAGCTTTCCCAATTTGGGGGAGGTGGATTTTTGTGGGGGCTACAGAGGGTGCTGGGGTCTGCTCTCTCATCTCCTTGCCCTGGCCTCTCCCAGAAGCTGCCCTCTGCCTCTGACTCAGACTCCAAACCAGAATCAGAAGGGGCCAAGGTTGAGCCAGTGGTGGTGGCCAGATCGGCCTCCTCCTCCTCTTTGGCCTCCTCATCCTCTTCCGACTCAGATGTGTCAGTAAAGAAACCTCCCAGGAGCAGGAAGCCAGGTAGGATCGCTGACACCGGTCCTGACCTGGTTCCATGCACCCTTGCCTCTGGGCTGGCCTGTGGGTGTCCCCACCCTTCCTGGAGGCTGCTGTGGGAAGAGACTACCCCCTCCTCCTTTTTCATAGCTGAGAAGCCTCCCCCAAAACCCCGCGGGCGGAAACTGAAGCCCGAACGACCCCCGAGCAGCTCAAGCAGTGACAGGTGGGTGACAGCCCTGGGTCGCCTCTGGCAGGGTCCTCTGCCAGGCTGCGGGTGGGTCTGAAGCAGCACCTCCTGAGGACTAGGCTTCCCTCTAATTGGCCCACACCTCCAGCGACAGTGAGGAGGTAGACCGAATCAGCGAGTGGAAGCGCCGAGACGAGGAGCGCCGCCGAGAGTTGGAGGCCCGGCGGCGCCGGGAGCAGGAAGAGGAGCTGCGGCGGCTGCGGGAGCAGGAGAAGGAGGAGAAGGAGAGGAGGCGCGAGCGGGCCGAGCACGGGGAGGCCCTCCACGGGGGCAGCGGGGGCAGCAGCGGCGATGAGCTCAGGGATGAGGAAGAGCCCGTCAGGAAGCAGCGCGGCCGGAAGGGTCGGGGACGGGGTCCCCAGTCCTCCTCTGACTCAGAGCCCGAGGCTGAGCTGGAGAGAGAGGTGTGCCCAGCCTGGCGGGGTCACAGGGGCCTCGTGGAGGGTGCTGGGGAAACATAGGTGACTGAGGAGGCTTCTCCCTAACAATCACCCCTTCGGGCAAGTCCATTTCTGCCAGCAGGGCCAGTGGTGACCACCAGGCACCGTGTGATGGTGCGGGCTGGTCAGCTCCCACTCTGGAGACACTCGAAGTCTGTCCTGAATCTGAGAGGCCGGCTTCCCAGGCCCGTCACATTCTAGACTGAGCCCAGGGTCCCGCTCGATACGGGGGTGGGGGAAGCCTGACGACACCCATCCTCTCCCAGCTGCTCTCCCTTTTGTCCCAAAAGGGGAACCAAGTTCCTTGCCTTAGGAAGTGTCCTGCTTGGAAGGAGGACTGTGGTGGGCTGCCCTGCTGTTGGATGGCCCTTTGAGGGGCTGAGAACCTGCGCTCTGGGGATGGACTGGTCCCAGGGGTCTTTCCCATCCCATCCTGTCCATTCCACCAGCTCCAGGCAGTGCGAAGGTGCTGGCAGGAAGTGTCAGGCTTTATTTCTAAGAGGGACGGTTCAAGAGTACAGGGCAAGCCTCTCCCACCCCCGTTTTGCTGCTGTAGGTGAAGAAGTCAGCTAAGAAGCAGCCACAAAGCACAGAGCCTGTGAAGAGACCCAGCCAGAAGGAGAAGAGAGGGCGCCCTGAGGAGAAGCCCCGGTCCAGGTCAGCACTCACTTAGCCTGTCCTTCCACAGCTCCCCGAAGCCGTCCTGGTCCTCGAGGTCTTCAGCCTTCTCGGGACCTCTTCTCTTAGGAGCGGCCCAGCTTCCCAATTTAGTTTGGCAGACAGAGCGAGTTGAAGTGGCTGCTGTTCAGGATTGTGGTCCTTGACTGGGGTGCTTCTGGCATCGAGTGGATGGGGGCCAGGGTTGCTGCTCCTCACCCCAGGATGGCCCCCCACAGGGAGAGGCCCAGCCCGTGTTGGTGCCAAAGAGGGGAATTGTCCCCAGACCAGTGGTTCTCAGGCTTTTTAAATCCACTGCCCACCAAGGTGTGGGGGTGGCACATCTCTGCCATTAAACATTTTTTTTTTACTAATTTATGAGAGAGAAAGAGAAACATTGATTTGTTGTTTCACTTATTTATACATTCATTTGTTGTGCTCTTGTATGTGCCCTGACCGGGGATTGAACCTGCACTTTGGTGTATTGGGATGACGCTCCAACCAACTGAGCCGCCTGGCCAGGGCTCCCTGCTGTTTTTAAGTGATGTTCCACCATCAGTTGGACTCTGCCCACTGGGAACTTGGCAGTCAGACTGCCCAGTGGAGTAGAACTGGAACTGTTAATGAGTGTTGCTGTCATCTAGAGTGCCTATTGATAACTCATCCATCCACTAGGTTTTACATACTAGCTATTAATCCTCAGCCACATAAAAAAAATAAAGAATTTTGAGATTTCACACGATTTGTCCCAGGTGCCTATCTTTGACTAGGTCACAGTGGTCCCTGACCCTTCCTCCCAGCTTCCAGGGCCTCCTGAAAGTGTCCTTCGGTAGTTCCCAGCCCTCAGTGGGGAGGATGCCGGTGGTTGGGGTAGGGTGGCAGTGTGGATATTGGTCAGAGGCCTAAGGGGAATGAGTCTTCACAGGCCCATGAAGGTGGAACGAACCAGGAAGCGGTCAGAAGGGTTCCTACCGGACAGGAAGGTTGAGAAGAAGAAAGGTGAGGGACCGGCTGCTCCCGGTCGCAGCCCAAGCTCTAGCCGCCCGAGGTTCCTGAGGTCGGGAGGAGGGAAGGTTGCATGTGTCACCACGGCAGTGCCCAGGCAGGTGCTCGGACACATCTGGCATGGGGGCTTAGGCCCAGGTGATGCATTCTCTCCTGGCCACAGAACCTTCCGTGGAGGAGAAGCTTCAGAAGCTGCATAGCGAAATCAAGTATGCCCTGAAAGTCGATAATCCGGTAAGATCCTCCTTGGGGCCACGGGGAGCCACTTTCCCTGAGTGAAGCAGTTCCTGCCACCCATCATGTCTACAGCTCCCTTAGAAGTCTCCAGAAATGGAGGTGACTCCAGGGCCCTTGGGGTGGGTGGGGCAGGGATCCTTGTGTCTGTTTGTTACCCCGCTGAGGGTCATCCTGAGGTGCATTGTGTTTGGTGTCCTCACCAGGTGGCGCTGTGGGCAGGCCCCAAGGATCCTCCAAGTTCTGGGTCTTTCTGCCGTCTCTGGCATGACCTTCTCTGACCCATTGGGTCTTCTAAGTGCTGTCCCTCCCTCTTCCTTTTCTGCCCTGCAGGATGTGAAGAGGTGTTTGAATGCACTAGAGGAGCTGGGGACCTTGCAGGTGACCTCGCATATCCTCCAGAAGAACACTGATGTGGTGGCCACGTTGAAAAAGGTACAGTCGGAGCCCAGGGGTAGAAGGGGGCTGGGCAGGCCGGTCCAGGCAGGCAGGGGTCTGCCAGGGAGCCGGTGTTCCCGGCCACAGCTGCTTTTGGTCAGTGGGGAGAAAGCCGGCAGACTGGGTGAGCACTGCCAGCTTCCAGGGGAGCTGAGGTGGTGGCAGCAATAGGGAGGGTCTCGGGTCGGGGGTGAGGCCAGCTGCATTCTCTGAGCCAGGCCTCTTGGTGGGCAGATTCGCCGTTACAAGGCCAACAAGGAGGTGATGGAGAAGGCCGCAGAAGTCTACACCCGGCTCAAGTCACGGGTCCTGGGACCAAAGATTGAGGCTATCCAGAAGGCAGCCAGAACCGGAGCAGAGAAGGAGCCGGCCGAGGCGGAGAAGGCCGAGGAGGCTCTGCTTGGAGAGGAGGCCCCGTCAGAGAGGGCAGAGGATGAGACCAGTGCTGGTGAGGAGCCGGGTGGACTCCTCCCCCACTGACTGGGGTGGTGTGCCCTGCTGGCGCTCTCTGTGCAGGCCTGGGTGACCCCCAAAGCAGCCAATGGCTGGTACACGCATACACCGAGGCTGCTGCTGGGCTCTGGACCCTCAGAGCCAGCTAGCGCAGGCGGCTGTGTGTGGGCTGGACAGGTATGTGTGAGCACTCTTGGGAGGTGCCAGCCTCAGCCTGGACCTGCAAGATCGTGGGTGAGCTGGGAGGAGAAAGAGAGTGTTTCCAGCAGGGACAGCCTCTGGGAGTGGGAGAGGACGTTCATGCTGGGGTCACCTGGTCCTGATGGCAGGTGTTTGGAACAGCCCTTCCCACTGACATCGCTGGCTTGGCTGAAAAAGCCTCAGCAGCCCAAGGAATAACCGAGGCTATTTTTCCCCTTATTTCCGTCCCATCCCCAGACACTCATTGACCGCGTGTCCCTTCCCTTCTTCAGGGGCCCAGCTGCTGGTGGAGCTGACAGTCCCCATACGACTGGGAGGCAGGGAGATAGAAGTGATGGTGGGAGCACAGGGCTAGGGCCCTTCAGGAGGGTCACAGACCCTCTGTCCCCAAGCTGGCTTGCTTTCCCACCCACTCTCGATGGAAGGCGGGGGCGGGGAGGGGGGGTTCCTGGATGATCGCGCCGCAATGTCCCACAATGCCCTTCCACCCCCACCCCCCGCCCCCCTAGATCTCTCTGCCTCCGTGAATGGTGAGGCCACATCCCAGAAGGGTGGAAGCACAGAGGACAAGGAGCAAGAGGAAGGACAGAACTTGGAAGAGGGGCCAGTGGGGGGCTCCTCTGAAGACCTGTTACACAATGAGTAAGTGTCCCCGGGGTCTGCAGCACTGGGGGCTGCTTTCTACAAGGGGGCGACCAGACTGGCAGAGAAAGCAGCTGCTGTCCTGAGTTGCTCCCAGGGGGCTGCTGGTAGTGGTCAGGGTCCCGGGGACTTGGCCCCCATGTGTGGGCCTCCTATCTCCACCTTAGCAGCAGACCCCAGGACCCCGGTGAAGGGAGCTGAGCTGCCCTGGGTCAGACCCTAGGGACAGTGATTCCCTCCTGGCTCTCCAGGAGTGGGAGCAGGCAGGCTCTGTCACAAGCCCCCTTGAATCTGGTGTGCGGTCGTGCTAAAGACCCCAGACCACTCAGCACACACCCACTGTCCTGGGCATGGTGGGGGGAGCCTAGGGCTTTCGGTCTGTCACTGCTGGACGGAGACAGACGGGCGGACAGGGAAGCGGCCTGCTCACCCCACCGTGCTGTGCTTCACCAGCAGCGCAAGGGAGGGCCCCGATCTGGACGGGCCGGGGAAGGACCGTCAGGAGCGCCCGAGGGCGCGCGTGGACTCTGAGTCCCTGGACGACGAGGACAGCTGAGCCCCGGGCAGCCCGGCGGCCAGGCCCCGCCCGTCACGTAGCTGCCCGTAGGCCTGCCCCGTTCCTTCCCGGCCGCCCAGGGAGCAGGAAACTGTCGGGGAGATGCTGTGCTCTTCGTTTGTATTTGTCCCTCGGGGGTTTTTTTCTGCCCAATTTCTGTGATTTCCAACCGACATGAAATGACTATAAAGGGTTTTTTTAATGAAAAAAATCACTTTTATTGGTTTGGTTTTCTAGTGTTACTGGTGCAGCTGGGCTGGAATTGGGAAGAGGTCTGGAGCTCTCAAGGGCCCACTTGGGGACAAAGTGTTCTAAGCCATAATGTCACCATATACAGTGAATGTGAGCTTGGTTCTAATGGTGTTCCCATCCCGTTAGGGCTGACCGTGAAACAGTGGAGTAGGAACAAGGCCTTTCCAAAAATAATAAATGAAAAATAAAACTCTCTGAACCTTGAGTCTCAAATGGAGGCTGTGGTTTGATGTCCCGGGTTTGGCTTCCCAGTGCCCAGGAAGAAGGAGCAAAGAGGCTGGGTGGCTGCCATGTTTTCCCCAGAAGCCAGTGCTGTGCTCACCTGACACAGCCGTTGTCCCTTCCGCCCCAGCTGCAGGCGGCACTGTAATCCACTCCCCACGAGGCAAGCCCTGGAGTGCCTGGCCCAGAGCATTCAGGCCTGGAAGGGTTCTGTGAGCCGTCCGTTGTCTCTGCGTGGCCAGAGGACATAAGCACTGGAGGCAGGCTTCCCTGTGTGACCGTGGGCGAGTGGCACTCCTGCTCTGGGCTTCTCTTCTCTCCTGGACAGGGGTGACCCCAGCCTCACAGGGCTGTGCCGAGGATTTAGACGGTGCGGGGTGGGGAGGTAGCTCTCGGCCAGGCACCCGCACACAGCAGTTCCCGGTTAGACAGTGGCCCCTGGCTGCATTCATCCATCCCCGCTGAGGGAGGGAGGCCGTGGTGTGGCAAGGGACTTCCTGAGTCCTGCCCGCTTCCACTCCACCCCCACCGGTGCGACTGGACTTGAAGGCAAGTCACTTTGCCAGGTTTCTGTGAATCCAGCGTCCTTACCTCTGATTACCTAACATGGTGAAGGCTGAGGGGAGAAAGGCTCAGAAGGTTCTCCAGTCCCCAGGGCAGAGCCTCTCCCAGACCCTGGACGCCTTCGGTAACCCTTAGCGAGAGCCAGCCCCTTGGTCCTGGAGCTCGGAGCGCCAAATCGTTTCCGAGAAGAGGGTACAGTGTGGGGTGTGCCGTAGGTGTGCGGTTCTGGGAGCGGGGAGCCCAGCACGGCTTTGGCGGGCCACTGCTGTTTGGACGTGCAGCTCCCAGCTGGAAAGAGGCCGGGGCTGGTGAGGGAGCCTTTCTGGGATGAACGTGGTGAGTTTTCACGTTCAGGTGCAGGGGCAGTAGACTAGGACCCCTGCAGCCGGGAAGGCAGGGACCTTCCAAACCATGGCAGGCCCTAGTCTCCAACCCGGAGTACGTTCCTGAGACCTGGAGGGTCATTCAGCACATTTTGTCACCTACTCCCTAGGGCCCTGTCCCCAGTGGGAAAGTCCTTTTATTCAGCTGTGGGCAGCCTCTGGGCCCAGGTACCTCAGAGACCAGAACCTCAGCTCTCTCATATGTGATTGGCCTACAGGGCGGAACAGGTGGGTAAGTGGAAGAGGCAGAAGGGGCTTGATTTGTATCAACTCTTCTCACCCCCGGGTAATGTCGTCCTCAAGGAAGGGCCCCGCAGAGCCTGGAGGTGAGGGGGTTGCTCCTGGTGGCTTTGTCCTCAAGAATCCCCTTCTCTTAGCCACACTGGGGTTAACTGAGGCAGTGAGACCCTGCCTCCGGGTGATGGTGACATTCTGGTACATTGTGGTGCAGGGTGTTTGCTGAGGGCTAGGAGAGATGCTTTAGAGTCAGGGTGGAGAGGCGGGACAACAAGCTGAGCTGGTAGCTGAAGGCCCAGACGGGGGTGGAAGACCCCTGTCCCCTGCGAAAGTAATGGGGCTCCTAGTGCAGGGAGCTGAGTGGAGAATCTCCCAGACTCAGGCACTTTCCACTTCTCTTTCCTAACTGGTGTGCTTGCTCAGCATTTTCAAGTGCAGGCCCTCTGTCCATGGTCTTAGCCGCCCTGGGCTCCTAGGTCCAGCCGAGCTTGGGAAGAAAGATAGATGGCACAGTTTCAGAGCTGGGAGCGTGGCACGTCTACTGCAGAAAGTCCTCTGTGCGCCAACCAGCAGTGTCCAGCGATTGGGGAGTTAGGGCTGGTTTGGGGTTGGGGAGCCTCTGAGGGGGGCCTATAGCTGCTGTCCACCAGGGTGCAGGTCAAAGGGCCCCACCAGCCAGCTGAGTGGGGGGCTGTGCTGCACACTCTCCAGCAGCTTCTCCAGCCCTCGCCAGGCCTGGACTACACGCTCACGGCTCTGGGCCAGGCGCTCGGTTGGCAGCTCTGTGACGGAGCTGGCAGAGGAGACGACGCCATAGAGCTCACAGAGGCTGTGCCGCGCTTGCCTCACACGCTGCTGGAGCTCAGCCGGAAGACCCTGGAGGCCGGAGGCCAGGGTGCTGTAGGCCACGTGGAGCTGCTGGATGAGTCCACGGGTTCTGGACAGAGCCTCCGAATCTGGCCCCTGCAGGAAGGAGAGATGTGAGTAGTGGTCAGAGAGAAGATTCTGGGAGCATTGGCCCCTCGTACATACCTCTTGGGTACCGGCTTTCTCCACTCCGCCCCTTGGACCTGGATCTGGCCATGGCTGTCCTTCTGGAGCCTGCTTGGCCTTTTCAATCTGGAAAGAGCCCAGCAGAGAAACAATGGCTTTCGGCAGGGCCCTTTCTCACACTTTCCCCCGGGGGAGGCCTGAGGGGCCAGGAGCCTGGTGTCCAGACCTCTGTGGCATGGTTGCAAGGCCACAGGCTTAGAGCCAATTGTGCCATGAGGGGCTTGTCTTCTCGTGCAAAGTGGCAGTAATCCAAATTTCCCAGGAGGTCCACAGTGAGATCAAATAACGGATAATGGGATCTTGTCACTCCCCAGCTCAAAGCCCTCCCGTGGCTCCCCAGTGCCTATTGGATAAGACTGACACCTCCCCATGGTCAGTGTGGTCTGCCCCTCGGGCCTCTGAGACCTGTCCCACTGGCACCCCGTCAGAACCTCTGCACATCGCTGATCCCGAGACCCCTGGGCTCCCGCTGCCCTGTCCCCGCCTTCGCTTCGCCCTGTCTACTCTGGGTACCTTTCTGCCCCATTAACACCCACTTTGTTATTGAGCACACTTTTTTTAGAGAGAGAGAGAAATGTTGATTCGTTGTTTCACCCATTTATGCGTTCATTTATCGATTATGTGCCCTGACTGGGTGTCAAACTTGCAACTTTTGTGTATCAGGGCAACATTAACTGACTGAGCTACCCAGCCAAGGCTGGGCTCTCTGTTCCGATGGTCCTCAATTCTCCCCAGTTCTGCATGGCTGTCTTTGTCATACACAGTGTGGCTCAAAGGGATGTGCTCCTGCCCGGCCCAGGCCCTCTCTGTGTGGATGTCTTGTTTCCTTCTTTGCACCCCCGTTGTCTGGAGGTGTAGCACTCCCCCCTTAATCTCCATTTCACTTTCCACAGTTTCTGTTCCCAAGGTCAACCATGATCCAAAAATATTAAATGGAAAATTCCAGAAATAAACAGTACGTAATTCTTAAGCAGCCCACTGTTCTGAGTAGTGTGATGAAATCTCACATGGTCTTGCTCTATCCCATCTGGGGCAGGACTCATACCCTCGTCCATGGTGTCCATGCTGCAGATGCCCCACCGCTTTGTAGCCACACAGTAGGCATCTCAGTTATGAGATGGGGGTGCCACAGGGCTCATGTTTACGTCACCCTTGTTTTGTTTTGTTTTTAAGATTTTATTTATTTTTAGAGAAAGGGGAAGGGAGAAAGAAAGGGAGAGAAACATTGATGTGTGGTTGCCTCTTGCATGGCCTCTACTGGGGACTTCACCTGCAACCCAGGTGTGTGCCAGTGACCTTTTGCTTTGCAGTTCGGCGCTCACACCACACCACTGAGCCAAACCACCAGGGCCAGTCACCCTTATTTTAATGCCATGTTAACATTGCTTTTATTGCAGTATAAATTGTTCTATTTTATTATTACTTATTGTTAACCTACTGTGCCTAAAGAAATTATAAATTAAACTTTATGATAGGTATGTATATGTAGGAAAAAGCCATAGTACTTGTAGGATTTGGTACTATCCGTGGTGTCAGGCATCTGCAGTGGATCTTGGAATGTATTTCTCACAGATAAGGGGGGCCGGGGCGGAATGGTCTATTTGATTTGGTTGTCTCGCTCCGTGGGACACAAGCCCCGCGAGGGCAGTCTGTGGTCACCTTAGTGGCTGACAGATACTGGATCACTGCACGCCAGCGGGAAAGCCATGGGGGGAAATTTTGAGAAAGGGGCCCCATACAGGGGCGGACACATACCGTACTGAAGGAGTCCTCAAGCAGGGCCAGTGTGGCTCTGGCTTGGAACTGGCCGTGCTGCAGGTGGCTCAGGGCGTGCTCGAAGGCTCGCTGGCGGACGCTGTGGGCCAGGTCACCGAGACGCACGAAGTAGCTCCTCTGGTCTCCTGCAGGAACTCTGGGCTCAGTCTCAGAGGCTGCCAACTGAGCTGCAAGGGAAGATGCGATTACTCAGACGGAGGGGACCAAGGACCATCCAGTTCTTAGACTGGACAAATGACAAGCCCTCACTAGGACCTGGGACCCAGCCCATCTTCTCACCTTGCTCCTCAGCATTCATAGGGTGGAAGATCTCCCCCAGCTCCTCCAGCTCATCCGAGAGTCTCGTAAAACCTGTGACACCTTCATGGCCGCATGTGGTAGCTATACGCCCAGCATTTTCCTTGCCCAGGCTCGTACCTTGTGTGAATGTTACTGCAGTAGAAACAAGGCTGTGGCTGTCAGGGGTGGCTTCTCTGGCAAGGTCCTGGCCTGCACATGGAGTGTTAGAGAGGCTGGAGACCCTGCAAGACTGAGCCTCCTGGGGGCTAAGAATACTTTCTTCCCCACATTTGTCCAGGTCCCTGCCGTTGATGAGTCCACTATAGGAGGTCTCCTCAGAGCCAGGTAACCAATTCTGGACACTGCCCATCTCAGACTGGATGGCGCCCTTGGCCACACTCATGGCCCCAATGAGGCCAGTGGACACTGCGTCTTTGGTGCCAGTGAGGACAGTCTTGGTGGTGTCCACCCCAGTGTGGACAGTGCCTTTGGCCATACCTATGGCCCCAGTAAGGCCAGTAGACATGACATCTTTGGTGCCAGTGAGGACTGTCTTGGTGGTGTCCATGCCTGTTTGGACAGCGCCCTTGGCCACACCCATGGCCCCAGTGAGGCGAGTGGACACTGTGTCCTTGGTGCCAGTGAGGACGGTCTTGGTGGTGTCCACGCCAGTCTGGACAGCGCCCTTGGCCACACTCATTGCCCCAGTCAAGCCACTGGACACTGTGTCTTTGGTGCCAGTGAGGACGGTCTTGGTGGTGTCCACGCCAGTCTGGACAGTACCCTTGGCCATACCGATGGCCCCAGTGAGGCCAGTGGACATGACATCTTTGGTGCCAGTGAGGACGGTCTTGGTGGTGTCCATGCCAGTCTGGACAGTGCCTTTGGCCATACCGATGGCCCCAGTAAGGCCAGTGGACATGACATCTTTGGTGCCAGTGAGGACTGTCTTGGTGGTGTCCATGCCTGTTTGGACAGCGCCCTTGGCCACACCCATGGCCCCAGTGAGGCCAGTGGACACTGTGTCCTTGGTGCCAGTGAGGACGGTCTTGGTGGTGTCCATGCCAGTCTGGACAGCGCCCTTGGCCACACTCATTGCCCCAGTCAAGCCAGTGGACACTGTGTCTTTGGTGCCAGTGAGGACAGTCTTGGTGGTGTCCACGCCAGTCTGGACAGTACCCTTGGCCATACCGATGGCCCCAGTGAGGCCAGTGGACATGACATCTTTGGTGCCAGTGAGGACGGTCTTGGTGGTGTCCATGCCAGTCTGGACAGCGCCCTTGGCCACACCCATGGCCCCAGTGAGGCCAGTGGACACCACGTCCTTGGTGCCAGTGAGGACAGTCTTGGTGGTGTCCACGCCAGTCTGGACAGCACCCTTGGCCACACCCATGGCCCCAGTGAGGCCAGTGGACACTACATCCTTGGTGCCAGTGAGGACAGTCTTGGTGGTGTCCACGCCAGTCTGGACAGCGCCCTTGGCCACACCTATTGCCCCAGTGAGGCCAGTGGACACTGTGTCTTTGGTGCCAGTGAGGACAGTCTTGGTGGTGTCCATGCCAGTCTGGACAGCACCCTTGGCCATACCTATGGCCCCAGTGAGGCCAGTGGACACCGTGTCTTTGGTGCCACTGAGGACAGTCTTGGTGGTGTCCACGCCAGTCTGGACAGCGCCCTTGGCCACACCCATTGCACCAGTGAGGCCAGTGGACACTGTGTCTTTGGTGCCAGTGAGGACAGTCTTGGTGGTGTCCACACCAGTCTGGACAGCACCCTTGGCCACACCCATGGCCCCAGTAAGGCCTGTGGACACTGCATCTTTGGTGCCAGTGAGGACGGTCTTGGTGGTGTCCACGCCAGTCTGGACAGCGCCCTTGGCCACACCCATGGCCCCAGTAAGGCCTGTGGACACTGCGTCCTTGGTGCCAGTGAGGACGGTCTTGGTGGTGTCCACGCCAGTCTGGACAGCGCCCTTGGCCACACCCATGGCCCCAGTAAGGCCTGTGGACACTGCATCTTTGGTGCCAGTGAGGACGGTCTTGGTGGTGTCCACGCCAGTCTGGACAGCACCCTTGGCCACACCGATGGCCCCAGTGAGGCCAGTGGACACTGCGTCTTTGGTGCCAGTGAGGACAGTCTTGGTGGTGTCCAGGCCAGTCTGGACGGCACCCTTGGCCACACCCATGGCCCCAGTCAAGCCACTGGACACTGTGTCTTTGGTGCCAGTGAGGACGGTCTTGGTGGTGTCCACGCCAGTCTGGACAGCACCCTTGGCCACACCGATGGCCCCAGTGAGGCCAGTGGACACTGTGTCTTTGGTGCCAGTGAGGACAGTCTTGGTGGTGTCCACGCCAGTCTGGACAGCGCCCTTGGCCACACCCATGGCCCCAGTCAAGCCCCTGGACACTGCGTCTTTGGTGCCAGTGAGGACGGTCTTGCTAGTGTCCATGCCAGTCTGGACAGCGCCCTTGGCCATACCTATGGCTCCAGTGAGGCCTGTGGACACTGCGTCTTTGGTGCCAGTGAGGGCGGTCTTGGTGGTGTCCACGCCAGTCTGGACAGCGCCCTTGGCCACACCCATGGCCCCAGTGAGACCAGTGGACACTGTGTCTTTGGTGCCAGTGAGGACAGTCTTGGTGGTATCCACGCCAGTCTGGACGGCACCCTTGGCCACACCGATGGCCCCAGTGAGGCCAGTGGACACTGTGTCTTTGGTGCCAGTGAGGACGGTCTTGGTGGTGTCCATGCCAGTCTGGACAGCACCCTTGGCCACACCCATTGCCCCAGTGAGGCCAGTGGACACTGTGTCTTTGGTGCCAGTGAGGACAGTCTTGGTGGTGTCCATGCCAGTCTGGACAGCGCCCTTGGCCATACCTATGGCTCCAGTGAGGCCTGTGGACACTGCGTCTTTGGTGCCAGTGAGGACGGTCTTGGTGGTGTCCACGCCAGTCTGGACAGCGCCCTTGGCCACACCCATTGCCCCAGTCAAGCCACTGGACACTGTGTCTTTGGTGCCAGTGAGGACAGTCTTGGTGGTGTCCACGCCAGTCTGGACGGCACCCTTGGCCACACCGATGGCCCCAGTGAGGCCAGTGGACACTGTGTCTTTGGTGCCAGTGAGGACAGTCTTGGTGGTGTCCATGCCAGTCTGGACAGCACCCTTGGCCACACCCATTGCCCCAGTGAGGCCAGTGGACACTGTGTCTTTGGTGCCAGTGAGGACAGTCTTGGTGGTGTCCATGCCAGTCTGGACAGCGCCCTTGGCCATACCTATGGCTCCAGTGAGGCCTGTGGACACTGCATCTTTGGTGCCAGTGAGGACGGTCTTGGTGGTGTCCATGCCAGTCTGGACAGCACCCTTGGCCACACCCATGGCCCCAGTGAGACCAGTGGACACTGTGTCTTTGGTGCCAGTGAGGACAGTCTTGGTGGTGTCCACGCCAGTCTGGACAGTGCCTTTGGCCATACCTATGGCCCCAGTGAGGCCAGTGGACACTGTTTGTTTGGTGCCAGTGAGGACGGTCTTGGTGGTGTCCACGCCAGTCTGGACAGTGCCCTTGGCCACGCCCATTGCCCCAGTGAGGCCAGTGGACACCACGTCCTTGGTGCCAGTGAGGACGGTCTTGGTGGTGTCCATGCCAGTCTGGACGGCGCCCTTGGCCATACCTATGGCCCCAGTAAGGCCTGTGGACACTGCATCTTTGGTGCCAGTGAGGGCGGTCTTGGTGGTGTCCACGCCAGTCTGGACAGTGCCCTTGGCCATATCTATGGCCCCAGTAAGGCCAGTGGACACTGTGTCTTTGGTGCCAGTGAGGAGGGTCTTGGTGGTGTCCATGCCAGTTTGGATGGCACCCTTGGCCACACCTACTGTTCCCGTGACTCCACTGGCCACAGCTTCCTTGGTTCCTGTGAGCACAGGTCGGGTCATCCCGAGTCCTCCCTGGACTACTCCTTTAGCTGAATCCACCATGTTGGCCACTCCGGAGGAGAAGGCATCCTTGGTTTTGGTCATTGTGGAGCTCACCAGATCCTTTGCCCCAGACGTCATCTGATGGAAAAGGACACGTGGTTAGAAGCAGAGCTGGGAGCCGCCTCCCCTCCCAGACCTCTGCCCACTGCCTGCTGAGGCTCCTGGTGAGTGGGGTCTGTTCCCCGGAGGCCCATGTCCTCACTGCCCACCCCTGCTGTCCCCGTGGTTTTCCAGCACTTGGGCTTAACAAGCTCCCTCATGGTGTCAGCTTACCTGTCCCCCACCCCCGATTCACTAGACCCCGTGGCTGACAGCGGGTCCCTTACACCTTTGGAACCCTTGACAAGGTGCCTTGGCCTTGTGGTCAGCAAGCCGTTGAATTACATATTTTTGTTCACTTTTAGCAGATTTTGAACCTGTGCCCTGTTACAGTGAGGAGATCAAAGTTCTTGTTAAAATGAGCATGTCCAATTAAGAGAAGGGGATGAGCATTTGGAAAGTAGCAAACTAAACATACAGGTACAGGTGTTGGGTTTGAGCCGTAAGGAGTTGTCAGTAACTTTGTTTGTTTGTTTATTTATTTTTCTATAAAGTTAGGGGTTCTTTTAAGAATTTTTTTTTTAAGATTTTATCCATTTATATTTAGAGAGGGAAGGGAGGGAGAAAGAGAGAGAAACATCAATGTGCATTTGCTGGGGGCCGTGGCCTGCAACCCAGGCATGTGCCCTGACTGGGAATTGAACCTGTGATGCTTTGGTTCGCAGCCTGTGCTCGATCCACTGAGCTACGCCAGCCAGGGCTGTTTATTTAGTTTTAAGACTTTATTTATTTATTCTTAGAGGGGAAGGGAGGGACAAAGAGGGAGAGAAACAATGTGTGATTGCCTCTCATGCGCCCCCAAGTGGGGATCTGGCTTGCAACCCAGTTGTGTCCTGAGTGGGAATCGAACCAGTGACCCTTTGGTTCACAGGCTGGTGCTCAATCCACTGACCCACACTAGCCAGGGGAATAACATTATTTTCTAACCTACCTAGTGGTGGTTGTCTTTAGTTCGACCAAACTGCGAAAAGATTGTAATGGCCCAGTGTTGCCACCACTGGGGCAGCCATGAGCACGCCGTTTTCACTTCAGTGGTTCTCACAAGGGGCAATCCTGCTCCCCACGCCCTGGGGATGGGGATGTTGGACAAAATTTGGGGCCATCTGTGATTGTGTGACTGTTGGGAGGGGGTGCTATTTGCATTGAATGGTTGGGGGCCTCGGATGCTGCACAAACCCTGCCATGCCCAGGAGCACCTCACAACCAAGAATGGTCCTGCACAGATCGCCACCATGCTGATGCTGAGAAACTCTGAAGTTTTATTCTCACTCCCTGCCTCCTGCTCAGCATTGAATTAAGTGGGAACCTCGGGCTCTGTGCCTAAAGAGATCCAGGTTCAAATCTCACCTCTTCTCTGCACTAGCTGTGTGAAAGCCACATCCCCCGTCTGAGCCAGTTTCTGAAAAATGGTGGTTAAAATAGCACCTCTTTCAAGGATTGGGGAGGAAGTAAGTCACAAGGCACCTAAAGCACTTTGGAGATAGTAGGTGCTCAGTTAACATGAGTGGAGGGGAGCAGAGAACGCATGCATAAAGGGAGAGGGACAAGGGATCTGTCAGTTTGGGCTGGAAGGACCTGTGAGGTTCTTCACCCTCTGAGCTCCTAAGACCTGGTTGAACTGGGGGAAGAGGGAGACTGGGAGGACCAGAGTGGGGGCATGTGTGGAGCAGAGGAGTTCCTGTCAAGCTTCTGCCATCCTTCTGTGGCTGCACCTAGCGTACATCAGCCCGTTCGCTTGGCCCAGCCGTGGGGACAGGATAACGTGTGGTCCCCATGTATTCAGGACAGAGGGTGAATGCCACACTGGTGCATTTTAGCCTCTGCCCTGGATTCAAATCCCAAGTTACCATGTCCTGCTGTGTGACCTTTGGCAGGTGGCTCAGCTTCTCTGTGCCTCAGCTATCGTGTGGGTATTATTTACTTCCTCACAGGCTGGTTGGGAGGATTAACTATTAAGGAGCACATATAAAGCATGGCGGCCAGAGCCTAGTGTGGTGAGTGAGTTGCTGTTTTTTGGCTCACATCATGCCAGACACAGTGAGGGGCTCTCAGTAGTCTGGAGCCTGACCGTGCTGGGCAGTGAGGCAGTACTGTACCCATTTCACAGATGTAGAAGTAGAGGTTCAGAGGGGAAGGATCTGTCTAGAATCCCATAGTAGGACACATGGGGGTGTCCGTTCTCTCCTTCGGTAGGAACCACAACATCCCCAAGGAAGGCAGAGGCCATCATACAGGCCCTGGCAGCACCTCTCACCTTGTCTGAAGGCAGCGGCAGCATCTCCACCTCCCTTGCCATCTGCTTCGGGCTGGTAGCTGCTATGGGGACAGGAGCTGGTCAGGCACTCCCAGGAAGGAAAGGGAAGTGAGTTGGCATCAGCCACCCCAGTGCCTGTTGTGCAATTGACAGGCACAGCCCGAAAGGTCAGGAATGTCCCAGCCACTGTGCCAGGGACAACAGGAGTTGACGGCTGTGGCCATGGGCTGGGCTCCCTTCAACTCCCCCACCCAGGGCCTTCGTATCCTGGAACAGGGGCTCCCTGCTGTTTTCTCTGCCTGGGCCCGGGGTGCTGGAGGCCCACCCAGGAAGGCCACAGGAAGAGTCAGAGCCCCATGTCACCCCTGCCACAGCTGGCAGTTGCCCGTCAGACCTGGGTATGTGGAACAGAAGTCAGCCACCAAGGGCCCTGGGCCCAGGGGCAGGAGGCCCCGCCCAGGCAGCCACTGCAACCCTAGGCTGCCCCCTGCACCAGCCCCTCTTTGTGTCCAGGGTACTCGGGCTGAATAACTGGAGGGTGGGGAGACCCCAGGCTCTGCCACCCCGGGGAAGCCACTGTCCCTCTTTGGGAGCCAGGATCGCTATCCCCAGTGAGTTCACACCTGTGGAACACCCAGCTTCTGGTTCATGGGTGTCGCAAATGGGCTGATGGGGGCTGGGGGTAAGCACAGGTGTACTGCAGGGAGACAGGCTGTGTTCACACCTCCACTTTCGCTGCTTATGCCACTTTGGGCCACATACCTGCCATATTTATGCCTCAGTTTCCCCATCTGGTGCTAAACGAGCAATGCCAGTCCCATATAAAATGTCCCCAAAGTGGCTAGAAGTCCCTACTAGAAGATTTCCTATTGCTGGGTGCCCCACCCTGTGAACCTGTGCACTCACCCTGGGCTTGGGGATGGGTGGCTTGGGGGGTGGTAGCACCTGCAGGATCAGTGACTGGCTGGACCTCTCTCGCTGGGCCTTGGGCATTGGCCACCAGGTTCCGAGCAGAACTGAAGCCAGGCAGGAACCCCAGGAAGCTGCCCAGGATCTGTGTGGGGAGGGGCCATGTGAGAAGGGCTGGGCTGCGATGGGGTGGGGGAGAGCCTCAGACAGCCCTGGGCTTCCACACCTCCTCAGGCCCTTGCTTTTGGGTGGCCTTGAGTTCCCAGCCTCAGTTTCCTCAACTGGACAATGGGCAGATGCAGCCGGCCTCCCGTGGGCAGAGGAGAAGGTTGTCCTAGTCTCCAAGGCCTTCTCCTTCCATGGCCCCCATTTCACAGATGGAGAAATGGAGGCTCAGAGAGGGCCGTGGCCCACCCAGTCACACAGTAGGGAAGGAGCTGAGGTCTGCATGAGCTATCCTCTGCCCCCAGCTTGGGACAGGAGGGAAGAGCCCTTCCCAGGACTGTGAGGTCACCTCCCCAAGGTTCTGGGGGGTCTCCTGCTCCTGTGCCTCCCCTTACCTTGCCCTTGGGTTTGGGCTCCCGGCCTCCTTCCCCTTGAGCAGACATGTTAATACTCTAAGCAGCTGGAAGAGAGCAGAGGGGGTTTGTAAATGGGGGCTCCCAGGTCTCCTGCCCCACACCCACACCCACACCCCCAGGCATTCCCAAACACCCACCTGGAGACCTGGCCTCACCCTGGCATTGCTCACCTAGACTGTGTGAGGGTCCTTTGGAGTGACTGGTGGCGCAGCTGACAGCTGGCTCTGCTTTCAGCTCCCAGGCCTTATAGGGTCTGGGGCAGGCGCAGGCCTGGCCACCAGAGGCAGGCAGCCAGCAGACTGGGGGAGGGCCCTGGACAGTCACGTGCCTGCCTGCCCAGCCCAGCATGGGCCCTGGGCCCGCACCTTTCCCCTTCTGTCAGTACTGGGCCACCTCTGCTCACAGCACCGCCCCCACCAAGCTAAGTGAGTCACAGGCCATCCTGTGTCCCTGAGACGTGGCCTGTATGCCCTTTGGCCTGTTCTTTTCATCCACGAGATGGGCATGGTTCAAAGCTCAGCTCTGCTGGGATGCCTTGGCCTCAGTTTCCCCCTCAGACTTCTCACTGTGCCCACAATGTGCTGTTCCCCCTCTGCTTTCATCTCCCCTGGCTCTCTTCCCCCTGGATCACTCCAGCCACACTGGACCCCATACACCGGGGCCTTCTTGCTGTTCCTCCAAATCTGCAGGCGAGGTCTGGCCCCAGGGCCTTTGCATGGGCTTTCCCTTCTGCCTACAGCACTCTTCCCCAGGCACCCACACAACTCGTGCCCTCCCTGTGTTCCCTGTAGTAGGACAATACATGGCATAGAGTTGGCACCTAATAAATGGTTAAATGGGCCAACTCACAGAGTGGTTGTGAGTGTGAAAAGAGGTCACAACCTGTTTATCCCTGTGCCTGGTACCCAGCAGGTGCTCAACAGATGTTAGCTTAGCATTGTCCAGGCAGAGAGCAACATCTCTCCTCAGCAGGGAGGGGACATATTGCTGTCTGGAAGAGAGAACAAGGGACCAATATGTAGACCAAGAGAGCACCGACAGAGCTGGGGCCACCCAAAGAGTGAGAACGAGGCCTGGTAGGCTCAGGCCAATCCAAGGTGGTTTCCTGGAGGAGGCTTTTTGTGCCTGAGGCCACAGAGCCAGGAAGTGGCAGAGATGGCATTCAAATCAGACCCTGAGCCTGTGTGCAGAATGACCTGGCTATGGATAGGTGCACAGGTGACCAGAGGAGTGACTACCATGCCCTCCCTGGGCAGTTTCCCTCCTGCCTGCGCCCAAAGCAGGCATCCCAGTCATATGCCCGTGGGAGCTGGGGAGAGGCCCTCTGGTGGCTCTGGGCTCTGAGCTGGGAGAAGGGAGGGCCCTGTCTCTGGGTCTGATGACTCCCAGGTTGTCGTCTTGAAGCCATCACTGTTTGTCCAACAGTCAAGGAACAAGAGGGGGATCCCCTAACCTCTTTCCAGCCAACACTTCCTAAAGGTGACAATGGGTTGGGTGGACCCTGGGAGTGCTCCTCCCCTCAGGGCTGCCACAGCACCCTGAGGGGAAGGGGAACCCAGCAATAATAACAAAAATGGCCATGAACAACAGGTTGGGTCTCCTCCCCCTCCTGCCCTCAGTCCTCCAGGGCTCCCATATCCCTTGCAGTAAAGGCCCAAGTTCTCCCCGAGGCCCATAGGCCCTGGATGACCTGCTCCTGTCCCCTCCCTGTCCTCACATACTCCCTTTCTCCGCCTCACTCTGCTGCAGCCACACAGGCCAGGCCAGGTCCAGCCCCAGGGCCTTTGCATAGGCTGTGCCCCCTGCCTGGAATGTTCTTCAGTCTTTGCTCATATGCCACCTCCTCAGAGAGGCCTTCCTGGCCCCCTTCTATTTAAAAATACACTTCTCTTCTTCAACCCCCACACACTTCCCATTGTCCTTCCCTTTTATTTTTCTCATCATTCTAACACTAAGAAAAGTAATTTACTTATTTTGTTTATTATCTGTCTCCTACTGTATTGTTAGGTCATGGAGGGTAGGATTTGTATCCATTTTTTGTGGATAAAAGTGCCTGGAACACAGCAGGTGCTCTATAGTGTTTGTTGAATAAATGAGTGAGTGAATAATAGCCTTTGGGGGTGAAGTGTTTGCTAGGATCTGGCATGACTTGCCCATTTTGTAGAGGAGAAAATGGGTTCGTAGAGGGGACACCGCTTGCCCACCCACCTACGAGCAAGGCTGGGACTCAACCCCAGGGTGGTGGGGGGCCGGGGAGGTTCCTGAGCAGGGGCAGGGCAGTGAGTCTGGCCGGTGGGAAGTGGGCAGGGCTGAGTCCCAAGGAAGCCAGGGGCCATCCTGACCTCATTGAATCAGACTGTGGTTTCCCAACACCCTGCCTGGCCTCCGGGGAGCCTGAGGGGCAGCCAAGAATGTGGTCAGGGCATGGGAGGGCCCCTGTGAGACTCCCGTGGCCCTTGCTCTGCCTCTGTCTCCCCAGTTCTGAGCAGTGGAGAAGCCACAGCAAGGCCAGCTCCTGGGGGCCCAGGGAGGTGGGCACGGGAGGGGCTGACCCATCTAACTTCTTTCTCCTCAGATCCTGCCCCCTATAATTTCCAAGACATTCATTTATACTAAAGTGTGAACTTGCACTCCAGGAAGCACAGCTGAAGGGGCAATGCTTAACCCGAGTGGGCTGGGCACTGAAGGTAGAACTACAGACAGGATGTCAAGCTGGTGTGTAGGGGGGCATCCTTTCAGATCTCATCCCTGCCTTGTGCCATGTGGTCACACAGCCCTGAGGCCCCCAGCACCCTGCACCTGAGACCGCCCCCGGTCAGAACAGAGGCCAGGCGCATCTGGGCAGCATGAAGCACCTTTATTCTGGAGAGCATGCCCCAAACAGCAAAGCAGGTGGGTCTGGCAGGCCCAGCTGGTGCAACCCAGCATCTCTGGGGGCCCCTCAGTCCAGGATGTGCAAGCTGGGGGAGCAGGGGAGTGCTCACTTTTCAAAGCCCCAAATAGAAGCCATTGGGCAAAATGTGTGTTTCTCCAAGGAGGTTTGATTGGCTTCTTGGGGTAAGGAAACAGGTGACCACAGAGATGAACCCAGCTGAGGACTAGTCAGACTGGATTAGGTTCATGTCCCCATATGTCCAAGGGATGTACTGGGGAGGATCTGGTATCAGTGAAGCTGGCCTAGATTCACAATTCCGCCCGGAAGCCCCCCAATCCGTGCCTGGGCCAAGGTTAAGGCATTCGGTGTTAGTGCTTCCACATGGCCACTAGGGGGCAGCAAGATGAGGTGTAGAGACAGTCTCCTTCTGCCTCTGGTTGCAAGGCCCAGTCCGGTTAGAAGTCCAGCTCTGGCATCAGCGTGTGCTTGGGACGGCTGGGGGGCTCAGGCTCCTCCTCTGGAATGTCCTCTGGGAAACCTGTCCCATCCCTGTGCTGGGCCTGCCAGGCTCTCTGCTGGGCTGGCCAGTCCAGGTGCGCCCAGCGAGGGTCAGGGGTCCCCACGACCTCGTCCACTAGGTTTTCCAGGTCTGGTGGGGGCTCCGACCGCTCTAGCAGAACAGGCGAGAAGGGCCCCACGAGCCAGGGCAGTGGCACGGCCTGCACCACCAGCTCTAGCAGCTCGTCCACGCAGGCGTGGGCCCGAGCCACTCTGCCCCGTCCCTCAGCCAACGCCGCTGCGGGCACGTCCCCAAAGCAGCGCGCGTCGGCGAAGGCGGCCTGCAGGGCATCCACGCTGCGCCGGACCTCGGACACCTTATCCTGGGCGCCCCGGGGCAGGCCCCGCACGCTGCTCTCCAGTGCGTCCACTGAGCTCTGTAGCTCCTGCATCAGACTTCGGGATAGTACCAGTGTTTCCAGCTCCGCCTGTGGGGAGGGGCGGGAGGGGCGGGGCCTCAGTGTCCTGGAGGGACACTTGCTGAGACCACAGCCCTGCCTCAGTTTCCCCATGGATACAATGGTATTGTCACTCTGACTCAATTTCCCCACGGACACAATGGGACTATCTGCCTGCCTCTGTTTCCCCCATGGACACAACAAGACAGCCCTGCCTTCCCAAAAGTAGGAATCGGGAAGGTTTCCCTAAAGGGCCCACAATGAGACTTTCCTAGCCTCAGTTTCCTCCATGGACACTCCAACCACCTGACCTCACCAGTTGGCTAGACGCAGCTCCAGACAGGCCCATGGCAACCCTGGGCGGATCCAGAACCACCTCCTACACCCCCACCATCCTACCTGGCTGCGTCGGCGGCCGTTCTCCAGGGCACCGAGGCTCCAGTCCCCCCACAGCTCGTGCACTTTCCCAGGGCTGGCTGGGGCGGTGGGCGTCACCCCACACCGCACAAGGTCAATCTGTGGGGGTGGGAGAAGTGGTCGTCAGAGGTGGAGGATTTGGGGGGTTCGATCTGGCCTTATTAAGCATCTAGGGAACACCTGTGAGCAACCTGCCACACCTGCTGGTCCAGCCTGGCCAGCCTGTTCACTATCTCCCCTGCCCTCTGGCAGGCCCTGCGCACAGGGCTCCCCCAGAGCTCAGACTCGCTGCCTGGTGTTTGCTCATGCCGGTCCCTCTGCCAGATACGCTCTTCCCTCCACCCTACCCCCGACCTCTCTCCTGGTGTGCTCCAGCTCTAGTCCCAGTGCAGACGTCACCAGGAGGTCTTCCCTCCTCCCCTTCTGGCTGGGTAGACCCCTCCTCTGGGCCCCACAAACACCTGCTGTGTTCCTCGTTATAACCTCACTCTCCCGACGGGACCGTGAGTATCCTAAAGGGGCCACTGTGCCTTCAGTACCCAGGACAGGGAATGTATTAGAAAATAGGCAGAAATAAAGCATGGCCCATTGATACAATGAAATAATATTGAGCCATAGAAAGGAAGTTCTGATACATGCTACAAAATTAATGAACCTTGAGGATATTATGCTCAGTGAAATAGACCTACTCAGGGGTTCACAGGCACCCTCTAGTGGCTGCTGTGGGGATGACAGTTGGATCCAGGAAGGTAGCTGGGGGACTAGGTGAGCAATTGCCGGGGCTGGATACAGGTGGACGGAGGAAGAGGAGGGAGGAGATGTGGGTAGATTCAGGATAGACTTTGAGGACAGAGCTAATAGTGTAGCCGATGAGTCAGATGTGGGAGGGGATGAGAATATGGAGCTGCAGGCAGTTGAAGTGGGGAGAGGGGATGTGAGATAAGAAGGTTGGGGCATCTGAGCCTATCGAGCCCAGGAAGCAGGAGCTGTCATGTCCCTTTGGAGCGAGAAGGGATGGACAATGTGGGAAGATGTTGGCTGTGAGCTGGAACCTAAGGGGTGGAGAGGACTGGTGTTGGTGACAGGAGAGTGAAAGAAGAGGCACCTTCTCTCTCTCTGGACCTATCTTAACTGCCTGTGAGTTCCAACTCCTACTTCGCCTCCTCCGCCGAACCCTTCCCTCACTCCCCAGCCTGACTCGTAGCAGGCCCTGAGCTTCCCCAGCCCCAGGCAGTCCCCGGCCCCAACCCTGAACACACGCACTTAGAGGCGGCTGAGCACAGTTCTGCCTCCCCCTTCAGTCTAGCATGGGGCCAGGTACTCAGCTGGTGCTCAGCCCATGCTTAGTGGCCTGCATTACGGGGGTGGGGGACAGGCGGAGGGCTCTCACCAGCTCCAGTGTCTCCTGCAGCTGGGCCAGTGTGTTCTGGGCGTGGTGTTTCTTCTGCCTCAGTTTCCCGAGAGAGTGCTCATATGCCAGGTGGCGGAGCCGTGCTGACAGGGAGCCCAGGCGCACAAAGTAGCCCTGATGTCTCCTCTGCTCTTCCACTGAGCCCACTTCTGGGCCTTCAGCCTCCGCTGCCAGCGCCGCTGGAGGACAGGATGGGGGACGGGGGGTCAGCATAGACACCACCTCCATGTCTGTTCACTCTCCTTCTGCGTGGACAAGCCCATGGGCTCCCAAATTTATAGTTTCCCTTTATCAATATCAACTCATTCAACCTTCCCTAAACCCTGTGATGTAGGCACTTTTATTAGCCCCACTTCACAGATGGGGAAAACTGAGGGAGAGGTGAAGTCCTACAGTCTGCAGAAAACAGAACTGGAATTCAAACCTGGACACTCTGGCTCTAGACTATTCTTTAAAAAATTTTTTTGCTTTGGCTGGTGTGGCTCAGTGGATTGAGTGCCAGCTCGTGAACCAAAAGGTCACTGGTTTGATTCCCAGTCAGGGCACATGTCTGGGTTGCGGGCCAGGTCTGCAGGAGGGAGTGCATGAGAGGCAACCACACATTGATGTTTCTCTCCTTCCAGAGGAAGGGAGGGAGAGAGAAGGGGAGAGAAACATGGATATGAGAGAGAAATATCAATCGGCTGCCTCTTGCACATTCCCAACCAGGGACTGAACTTGCAACCCAGGCATGTGTCTTGACCAGGAATTGAACCTACAGCCTTTCGGTTTGTGGGACGACATCCAACTAACTGAGCCACACCAGTCGGGGCTAGACTATTTCTTTTTCTTTCTTTTTTTTTTTTTTTTGAAGATTTTATTTATTTTTAGAGAGGGGAAGGAAGGGAGAAAGAAAGGGAGAGAACACCTACTGTGTGCCAGGCACTTGTGATATATTCTTTAAGAGGCAGTTTAGCACATTGGTTAAGAATAGTCTCACCCTGGCCTGGCTGGTGTGGCTACGTAGGTGCTCCAAAAATGCCTCACAGCCTTTGTGCTGAGGAGGAAGCACGTGAACACATTTTCTAGTGCCGTAAAGCAAGGGTTGAGCAGTCAGACTGTGTCCAGCGCCAGCAGACAACACTAGAACACTGGAGAAAGGTGGGCTTTAAAGGGGCAGATGCTATTGAACCCAAGTGTCTAGTTTTTGAAGGCGAGGCAGGAATCAGGATGTGTAGGGCAAAATCTGGTTGTTAAATGCATGCAATAAATTAAAAGATTTTAAAGGCATTGTACAGGCCAGATGATATAATTTGGAGGGCTGGCAGTTCAAGACCATGACTCTCTTGAGCCTTTAAGCCAATTATGCCCTTGGGGTCTGGGTGGTCTGTTTCTAGTAGGATGTGGGCTGGGGGGCCATGGAAGTGGAGTGGGAGGTCAGGGCTAGGCCCCAGCTCCATGTTCCTGCCGATCAGTTATGTCCTTGAGCGAGCCCTGAACCTTTCCGATCTGGAACCTCCGGGGATGTGGACTGGGCAGGAGGACTTAGGGATGGGGCGGGGAGGGCACTGGCCTCACCAAGCTCCTCCTCGGTCATGGGCAGGAAGTGGTCCACCAGCTCCTCCGACTTGCCCAGCACAACGTCCACAGCGTGGCTCATGGAGCGCTTTAGCTCCACACTCCAGCGCCGGCTCTGCCGTGCCAGGCCCACCACGCCGGTCATACTGCTGGCCACTGCATCCTTGGCTGAGGTTACCACCTAGAGGGAAGGGCCCCTGATCCAGGTGCTGTTAGATTCTGGCTCCTTTCCCTAGCCCCTGGGGCCAGGGGTCAAGGATTCCTGGCCAATTCCCAGCTCTGGGCCAGAAATCCTCCTCTATAAATTGGAGAAAAAGAAACTATCTCCCTCACAAGGTGGTTGAAGGGGTTACCAGCACCTACTGGCACATATTAAGTGCTCAATAAATGTGGGTGCCAACTATTTTCATCTGGCTGGTGTTTTTTGAGGTGACCAAAGTCCCAGGTCCAGGCTGGGTCTGGGAGGAGGCAATCTTCCTCCCTCCCACTCCCACCCCCCGCACGCCCCCACGGTGTGGTACCCTGTCGGAAGGCTGCTGGAGAAAGGGTAGCTTCTCCTCCAGCTTGTCTAGGCCCCTGCAGGCAAGATCATTCACTGTAGCCACTGGAGAGAGACAGAGAAAGAGAGAGAGGCGGGGAGAATCTGGAAGATGACAAGAGAGATACAGAGTAACATAGAAGGAGGGAGTGCTGGAGGGAGAAGCAGAGGAAAAAGGAGGAGAGGAGGAGAACAGGGAGGGGAGGAGGGAGAGAGAGAGAGAGACAAGATATGGAGAGGTCAAGGAAAGCCTGGCTGGTCCCCTGAGGGGCTGGAGACCCTGAGGGTGTGTGTGGGTCATCAGGCTGGGCCCCGCCTCCTCCACTTTCCCCACCTCTGCTCTGCCACTGGCTTCTGCCAGCACCAAGGTGACTCCACAGCCCTGCTCAGCTCAGATGCCGCAGCAGTGAGCGGGCTCAAGGTCATTCAAGCCAGCAAAGGAGATGGGGAGGCCCTGGGCTGGGACCCTCAGATGGCTCCCTTCTTCAGTCAAATGTGAGACCGAGAGCCTTCTGCCCTCCCCACATTGGGCATCAGGTTGGACTCCTGAGCTGGTCACAGGTCTGGGAAGATGTGGGGCCCAGGGCAGGTGGGGGCAAGGACACAGGGGCAGGTGGGGAAGGGAGGATGGGCAGGCAGAGGGAACCCAAGGCACAGCAGGCCAACCAACAAGGGAGGACGACACCAAGACAGATGGAAAGGGGACAGAAGGAGGGGACCACAAGTAAACTGCACAGTACACCCACAAACAGAGGAGAAATGGGACAGGCGAAGAAGGACTGAGTGAGGAGAGCACGGGTGGATGTGGGGAGAGGCAGTCAGACTGAAGGCACACAGGATAGGTGAGACCACGGAGGGACACCCAGACCCTGGGGTCCACCCCAGGGCATGCCATGTGGGTGGAGCAGGAGAGGGTGGAACCACAGGGCAACCAAAGTATTCTGGCCAGGGGGACTCACGCTGAGGTTGCAGGTGGCTGAGCAGCGGTTGGGCGTGGTCCAGAGCGCTGGTGGTGAGGCTGCACACGCAGTGCTCGGCCAGGCGGCAGGCAGAGCCCAGTAGCGGGTGCCTATCCTTGGCTGCGCTATACGCACCGGAGACGGCAGTGCATGTGGCCCGGACCAGGGGCAGGGCCACAACTCGCTGCACTGCGCTCTGTGGGAACGGGAAACATCAAAAGGGTCCCCAGGGAGGTGGGAGTTTCAGCCACTCTTTAGCCCACTTTCACTTTCTCTCTATGGGCCAGAATGAGGGGTGGGCAAGAGGGCGTATGGAGCATCTGGCTGTGTGCAGCAGAGGAAACCCATGGGAAGCGGCTCACAGGCTCCTGTTCTCAACAGCACACGCACAGCGTGACAAGTTCTGATAGAGTCTGGTGGCTAAGGGCACACAGCCTCTGGAGCAAAACTGCCTGTAGTCAGTTGTGGTTTGGCCACCTCTGAGTTGTGAGCTTGGGCAAGTGAGTGAACCTCTTGGCGCCTTGGTCTCCACTCTGTAAAATCGGTTTCCAGGGCTATGATCGATGTGTTGGGGGCCAGTGTATGTGAAGCCCTTGGAACAGTGACTGATGCAGAGCAGGTGCTGCGAGCGCTGCGGTTGCTGCTGCGGGTGTTAAGAGCGCCGCGATGCTGGACGCAGAAACAAGGACGTGTGGGCGGGGAGACCCGGAGCGGGAGAGGGAAAGTTGGGCAGGGGCCAGCTGGGTCTGCTTGGAGAGATACTCCCTTCCCCGGGCTTCTCTGTGCTCTCCGGGGAAAGGGTAGGAAGCGCCGAGATGCCAGCTTCCATGGTCCAAAATGCCCTGAGTGAGGCGCTCGCATCAAAGATAGAGGCGGTAGGGGACAACCAGCCTGCAGCTGTTCAGGGAGGGACTGTACCCCACTCTTCCCCATGCCCTGCTTCACAGAACGTGCACCCCCTCACCTGCTGGTCCTGCTCCCACAAGCTGGGTCTGCGGGCCTGAGCCGCCTCATCCTCTGACATGCCTGCTGCAAGCAAGGTCACCTGGGGACCAGGACAGAGTGAGGGGGGTCAGCTCTCCCAGCTCCCTCCCAGGCCTTGGGTTCTGCCTGGAGCCTAAGAGCCTCTGTGACTCCAGGAATTCTTGTTCCTTCTTAGGCCCTCAGTTTCTTCATCTGAAAAATGGGGTAGCGACAATACTTTCCTCAAAATGTCACAAGGAGCACAGATAATGCATGTACAGGACTCCGCCCACAGTAGGTACACATGAGAGAGCCTCTGGCAAGGGGGTGGCTCCGTTGTGATTCAAAGCATGGGCTCAGGGTTTGAATCCTGCCATTATCTGCTGTGTGACTTTGGGCAAAGGCCTTCACCTCTCTGGGCTGTTTTCTCTTCTGCAAAGTAGGGAATGCTCCTGCTGTCCCTGCCCTGTACAGAACTGCACAAGCAGCCCCCCACAGGGATGCAGGTGGTAACTGTAGAATCCCAATAAACTCAGTCAGTTGGACAGTCGGGAAAACTGAGGCACACAGCAGTCCATGCTGGGCCCAAGGTCACTCAGCATAAGCTTGACTCCGAGTAGAGAGTTCGACCTCAGGCTCCCCGCCTGCAGTTCATCTCCACCCCAAGCCTTCAGAGCCGTGGTCCCCGCCCACCTGGGTCCTGAGCTTCAGCCAACTGGGACAAGGGTCTCAGCCACCTGCTCAGGCCTGTCACCTGTCTCTTGCTGAACCCTCGTCTGCCCACCCAATTCGGGGCCTCCTGGGCCTGCGGAGCACTCCTGGACGCCACCCGCGTGGCACTCACCTGGGCGTGTGCAGCCTCAGCCCCCAGGTACCTCCACGGACCCCCGACTCAGGCTCGTCTCCGCCCCCTGCCTGCCCCTCCTGCCTTATAGTGGCTCCGGAGGCGGAGCCTCTGGGGACTGACCAATAGAGAGAGGCCGTGCAGGGGCGTGCCTCTGGGGCGGGGCTCCAGGCCCGCTTGCTCTTCTCCGATGCTCCCAGAACCCTGTGCGGTTGCCAAAGCAGCTTGGGGACGCTAGACGCCCATGGGTTGAGCTACTTCCGTATCACCCTCAGTGGAGGGCGATCACAGCCCTTACCTCCACGCACAGTGACCTCAGGCAAGTCCTTAACGTTGTTCTGTTTTTTTTTGTTTTTGTTTTTTTTTGCTTTTCAATCCGCCGCTTAACTAAACCAGGAGCCTGGCTGGCCCATTCCCTCAGATTCTTGTTTTACAGATGAGCAAATGAGGCTCAGAATGCTTAAACCACTTGCCCTGGATCCCACAGCGATCGAAGGATTTGACTTAAACCCAGCTCTGCCAGGCTCCAGACCCTGGCTTTTTCATCATCGTGCCTGAAATGACCACCAACGAGCATGACATACCTCCCGGGGGACTGACAAATCCGAGCATGGCCCAGAGTTCCCAGGACCCCCAAATCTGACCCTGGCTCCCACTATGCCCAGCACTGTGTCAGCAGGTGGCTCCAGGTTCTGAGTTGTGAAGACACAGGTCCCTGGGCTTCTGCCCATCTGTTCAGCCTCATCCAGTCTGCCCACACTTGCCCTGGGTGACTGCCCCATGGGTTATCACTGGCCAGCATGACAAATTGTTTGGAGACCTGAAGCAATCTGGTTTAATTTAAACCTTCCCCAGGGCACAAGCTCTGGCAGGAATCCACCAGTAAAATGACACCTCGGGCAACAGTCAGGGTTTTATTTCCAGTTAAGCCTCAGGATAGAAGGGAGGAGGAGGACCAGCTACAGGGCATCAGATCCCAATTGCCATCCATTTGGAATTTCAAGCCCAGCATTCCATGCCCTGGTTCAAGCCTCTTCTTTCCTCCTTTATCCTGTAGACTGAGGAGGTTGCAGGAAGACAGTGACTTGGGAGATGGAGGAACACAGTACATGCCAATTCTGTTTGACAATTATTTATTAAACCCCTTGGGTCTGACCCCTAACTAAGTGATGAGTAAGAGGCAACTCAGCCCTAGGCCCTGCACTCAGAGACCCCCTAAACTGGGGGATAGAGAGAGCCAGAGCCAGATAAAGACAGCCCCAGTGTGGCCAGGGCTGTGCCAGAGGGAGGGCAAGAGAGCTGAGGGAACAGGGAGACTAAGAGATCTACGGAATGGGGAAGGCATTCCTAGAAGAGGATGCAGCATAAGCAAAGGCAAGGAAGCCACAGAGCCTAAGAAGTGTTTTGGGAAGCGTGGGAAGAATGGGTCCAGCAATTATGCAAAGCCTGCCTCACCCTTAAAAGGGGAGATTAATCGCCTAGTGGGGTGCAGTGTTCTGCCAGGCCATCCCTACCCATCTCCACCCCAGCCTTAAACTTCAAATGGGTTATGGCCACGGCCAGTAGTGTCTGGCCCTTTACGGCTTTAGGCTCAGCACAACACGTGTTATTCCGGAAGAACATCTTGTCTTTGTTGTCCACAAGCCACTGATAGAGGTCATCCAAGTTTTGGTCACAGACCCAGGGGTTACCGGAGATGTCAAAGCCATCCTTCATGTCCTGGGCTGCTCTGGGCTTCCCCAGGGATGCCCAGAGCCCCTTGGGCACGCTGGTCAGTAGATTGTTGGAGAGGTCCAGCATGTCCAGCTGCTTCAGACCTCGGAAGGTGCTGGCTGCCACTGTGGCCAGCTGGTTATTACTCAGGAAAAGGTGGTGCAGGTTTGGCTGGGGCACCAGTAGGTCCTCTTCGAGTGTTCGCAATCTGTTGCCTTCCAGGTGTAGACGTTCCAACTTCAGGGGGCCCCTCAGAAGGTCAGGGGGCAAAGTTTCCAGCTGGTTCTTGCTAAGGTCAAGGATGCGCAGATCGGTGAAGTTGGCCAGCAGGCCATTGGGCAGTGTCTGGAGGCGGTTTCCAGATAGGTCCAGGTGCCCCAGGGCTTTCAGGCCATGCAGCCATGAAGCTTCCAGGACGTCCAGCTGGTTCTCTGTCAGCACCAAGGTGCGGAGGGCAGCTGAGTTCTGGAAGAGGCCCGGGGGCAGCCGGGTCAGGGCGTTGCGGGTTAGATCGAGCACCTTCAGCCGAGGCACAGGCAATAGGAACTTGGCTGAGAGGTTCTTCAGCCCGTTGCTGGAAAGGTGCAGTTCCTGGAGGTTAGACATGTCCTGGAGGAGTTCGGGTGGCAGCTGGGTGAGGTTGTAGAACTCCACAGACAGGAAGGTGGTGTCAGCTCGGAGGTAACTCAAGAATTTGGCAGGTGGCTGGCAGGTGACGCTGCTGCCATTTTCCGACTGGAACACGAGGCAGGCGTTAGGGCTTGGGGTGACTCTCTGGGCTGAGGGGGCCACAGTTATTAGCAGCAGGAACAGGGTTCTAGAAAGTAGGAGGTCCAAGCCCCCTGGGCTGCAGGCAATGACAGAAGGTGCTTAATGAGCCAAAGTAAAAATATACCCACCTCAGTGAAACTATACCCAGACTCTTCCCACTTCTTCTCATCTGGACCTCCACCCCCGACCGCCATGCCTCCTCATCGTCTTGCTGGACTAGTACAGTCACCTCCTCCTCTGCATGTTTTAAAGGCAGAGCCAGTGAACTCCTACCCATCCCGCAAAGCCCCCAACTCCAATGCCCCCTTTTCCATGAAGCTTTCTCCTACTTTCCCAAACAGCATCCTCAGTTTCCCCTCTGTGCTCCTCCTCCTCTTTCTGTTCAGCCCTGACTAAACCAGGCTAGGTTGTGTCCAGTTCCTTCTTGCTTCCAGCACTCAGGTACGACCCAGGGCTCCAGGTGTGAACAGGACCCTGAATCTGAAAAGTGCCTGAAGCAGGTTTGGGCACAGGCGTTTGGCCTTGGGACTGGGTGGTTTACAGCTTGGCTCTGAAACCCTGGGTGAGCTGGGGCTTCTGCTCCTCCCTGTCCCTCCAGCAGGCCTCCGACGTTGGGGGTGGGCTCCCACACCCTGCCTGGGGTGCCTGCAGGCCAGCGCATGTGTGGGAGCAAGCTTATCCTAGCTGGGGCCGGAGTGTCAGTCTGCTCCAGCCAGCGGGCCAGCGGTGCGGCCCCAGGGCTTCTGGGTTCGGATGGAATGTCCGCACTGCCTGTCATCCAAGTCCGCCCAGGAGCGGCAGGGGGACCTACCTTCGGGTTAGCTCTGGGCTCCAGGAGGACATGGTGGCCTCTCTCTTTTCCATCTAGGTTCCTTTGGTCTGGTGAGTTAGCCTTATACCTGCCTGGGCTGGGGGAGGGGGCACCAACCATAGGGAAGTCCCCACCCACATCCTGTTCCTGATGGTGGCTAAACCTGAGCCAGGCAGGGGGAAGGGAGGGGTCAGGATTGCAAAATTGTTTTCCCGGCAGGGGGAGGACAGCAGAGGGTCTGCCCACCCCATCTTGTCCCTGCTTCTGCCAAGTTTTCCTTCCCCGATTCCTGCTTTTGGGAAGTGGGTACCCTTGAACCTCTGGGGCTGAGTCCCCACTCCAGGAATTCAAGGAATCAAGGGTCAAGCCTGGGGGATGGGGACAGATCTTTGAGCAAGAGGTACTATTTATGACACATCTGAGCAACCAGGAAGTGCAGTGAAGAGAACAAAAAACACTTGTCTTGAATTTATGACATGTTGTTGGATATATTTTTATTGAACTAATTTTTTAGAAATACAGTTCAGAAGTGAGTGATGCCAAAAGTCTCTGAGATCTTGGAAAAATGGTCTGGGAGGGACTAGACTTGGTGTGATCCCAGCTGTGCTAGGACTGCTGTGCTTGTGACCATGGGCATGCAGCTTAACCTTTCTTGGCCTCTGTTTCCCCATCAGTGAGGTGGAATTCAATGTCCAAGAGCCCCGTCCATTCTTCTTTTTAATTGAATTTAATGGGGTGATGCTGGTTAATAAAATCACATAGGTTTCAGGTGTTGTGCTTTCTTTCTTCACCCTAAGCTGATGCACTATTTGTTTTGGGTCTTTTGCTTACTAGTGAATGCATTCAGGGGCTATACATTTACCTTTAAGAGCAGCTTTGGCTGCATCTCATGGGTTTTGCTATTTGGTGCTTTTGTTCTTGTTGAGCTCTAAAAATTCACATGTGCTTTGAGGTCTTTATCTGTCTTGCCTGGCCACAGCCTCTTCTCCCTGGCCCCAACCATTAACGATCTGTCCCTATTCAGCTGTGAGGATGATTGTGGGACAGTGGACACACAGGCCCAGAGACAAACACGCAGGCTGACAGTGACAGACACAGATAAAGAATGACAGAGAGACACACGTGACTTCACAGACATAGATACTGACATAGAGAAGGCAAAAAAAAAATACACAGAACCCAAGAGAGACAGGGGCAGAGCCGGACACACAGGACAGAACGGCAGGCCTGCAGAGACAGACACACAAAGCAGACACACACCAAAAAGGGCAAAGGACCTGAGTAGACATTTTTCCAAATAAGACATACAAATGGCCACAAGATATATGAAAAGATCCTCAACATCACTGATCACCAGGGAAACGCCAAAATGACCATGAAACAGGATCTCACACCTGGTGGAATGGCTATTACCAGGGGTACAAGAAGTGACACGCGCTGGAGAGGAGGTGGGGAAAAGAGAGCCCTCTGCACTGGTGGTGGGGACGCATGAGTTGGGCAGCTGCTACAGAGAACAACATGGCGGTTCCTCGGAAGATTAAAAATGGAGCTGCCATACCATCCAGCAACTCCACATCTAGGTGTTTATCTGAAGTAAATGAAATCACTGTCTTTAGATATCTGCACCCTCATGGCTATTGCAGCATTATTCTCTCTCTCTCTCTCTCACTCGCTCGCGGGCGCACACACACACACACACACAGAGGAACATTACCCAGCCATAAAATAAGACATGAATCCTGCCATTTGCCACAACATGGGTGAACCTGGAGGGCATTATGCTAAGT